CTGCAAAAGCAACTAACCAATGCAGTATTTGTGTTACTACTGTATGCTCTACATTTAATAAACAGGAGTATAATAATTCACCAACATCTAATAAATGGAGGAGATGAGTGGTGATGATTAAAACAGACCAACAGATTCAGTGATCTGGGGGACAATTAATACTGAACATCCAAAAGCAGGATGAGCTAGATGAGGGTCAGGTAGTGTTCATATGGCAGATCAGTGAAGATTCCTAATTGTGACCAATTACTTCTGATCAAAGAGGCCGACAACTCATCTTCAGGTGAATGACACTTTCCTGAGCTTCAGGCAGAGTGAAGCTCTCTCAGAAACTTCCCCATATGGCTTTTGCTCAGCAGGCTACACTCTCCAAAACTATCATTTGAATGGAAGGCATTTATTGAGTGGGAAGTGGATTATTCTGTGGAGTCTCTAATGGTATAAATGTTACTGGAGAAGTTTGTAAGAGATTCAAGCCAAGGCAGCAGATGGAGAACATGCTGCCAGCAGGCAGAAGAGAAGCAGAGCTATGCTTTGGAAGTCCCAGGGGAGTCAAGGAGAGTTGGTCCCTGCATGAGGCTCCTGATAATGGGTAGACAAGTCACCATGACCCATCAGCAACAGAGACAGACAAAATCCTGTTTTGTTCAAAGCCAGTGATGATTGGCAAGCTTCTCTAACCCTGAGCAGCCTGTTCTCTGGCCTGACTGGTGATAGATCACAAGTCCCATCTACCCCTGACAACACAGGGTAGCCCTGAGGTGGCACACCCCCTTATTTTAGAGAAGTACTGTACCAGAGGAGTACCTAGCTGTGTCTGGAGCAGATGAGACAGAGGTTAAAGCCATAAAATTCTTTAGTAAAGGACCCTATAATGTAGCTGTGTACTTATCTCATAGCTCTGCCAGGTTTATAAAGGCTACCAAGGGACTCATCTAATTTTAGTTTTTTAAGTGCAGGTGTTTTGGCTAAGCCATTTGTGTATGTTCCTCCAAGGAGGCACAGTGGAGAGAATAAACTCCTGCAGAGGGGTAGCTTCTTGTCCCCCGAGATCTAACTCGCCTCTGGAAGTCCCCCTCTCTGTTTATTGCCTAACTGGCTTTGATGCCACTGCCACCAGGTAAGGGGGACGACACCTACACCTCCAGAAAAATGCTCAGTAGGTTTCATGCAACACTTAGCAGGACCTGCCTGCTAGGTCAAAATCTGATCCCCTAGGTAGTGTGTCCAGGACACAGCCCCATCTCCCATGACATGCCCGAAAGTGGAGTGCAGTGAGATGAGACTGAAGCCTTGGGGGAAGCCCCATGTGCACGACTTGGTTACAACAGCATGTCCTGAGGACATTGCACAGGGCCAGCTGGAGACACTTGTTAATGAGAATCCTGGCACACAGAGAATGAGAAATGTGACCTTTGGAAATTTAAATCAGGCTTTGCACATGTGTCTTCCAAATGACTGCTGTGACACCCGTCAGGGCTCATGTGGATATGGGGTATGTCTCAATGGCAGGCTTGCTGCTTGTTTTCCACGTGCTGTGACCCAGCCTCCTCCCTGCCCCAGCAGCTCAAGCCCTTTGCTCCACGTGTCCCTGAGCATGTTGGGCCATGCTCACACACTGAGCTGGGCTCTGGGAGTCCGTGTGCTCTGGCTCTGCACCCTCAACCTGCCCACCCGGCCGGCAACGTGCGAGCAAGTGCCGTACACAGCTCTTCTGCAGTTCCTAGCAACTAAATTGCAGCCTCCCTGCCAATCTGCTCTTCCCTGTGCATCAGCTTGCCTATTCAAATATACCTCACTGGTGTCCAACCCTCTCTTTTCACCCAGATGGCTCCAGCTCTTCCCTTATTTGCTCTTTTCCTTTCCTCTTGCCTCACTGAGATGCATTTCAGCTCTTGCTCACCCTCAGTACTAAGCCCACTGTAAAGGATTGTGAGTTATGTGGAACAAGGGAGACCAGAAGGAAAAATACCTAAAACCCTCCCTTAGGACTTACTGTAGAAAGGTTACCAGAGCATCTGGGGAAAAGGATTTTCTACCAGGTAACTGGTCTAACTCTTCCTTAAAATCTTGCCTCTCTTAGGAAAGGTTTTCTGAGGGGTCCCTCTCTTGTTAAAAAGGGAGTTCATGAGCCTACAAAATACCCTTGTAAGCTGTGGAGGAGAAAAATAAAAAAACTCCTCAAAACATAGCGTAGAATCTTTAACCCAGCATCAGGATTCATAGCTTAGACTTGTGAGCATCTGAGTCAATTATCCAATAGTCTGATCTGGGGAAAACCCAGGAAGAGAGTGGCACAGGGTATTTAATTTTATTATGGGAAAAGTTATTATGGGAGTTCTGGCCTGCAGAGGATGTCTCCATGCAAGGTTCAAATTTGACTGAGAATCAAAATCTTACCACTTTCTTTAGTTTCTCCTTTTATTTTCTCCTCTTTACATAATCCACATTGTATTTCCAGGGAAGTAGGTGGAAAATCAAACAAGTTAAGAAAAGTTACATTGTCTCATTGATGGCAACTCGGAATACATCAGTAATAAAACAAGCAAGACAGTGGATTAGAACTAGAGAGTTTTGCTTCTATATATGAAAATTCCAAAAGGAGGAGATGGATATAGTGGGAAAGCTACAACTTGTGGCACAGTTATATGTGAGAAAAAGGATACTGAACCACAGATGCTGGAAAAAATCAAACACAGTATCAAAAAATCTGAAGAAAAAGTAGGGGCATAAACAAAAGATAACCCCTTTTAAAAAAAAAAAAAAAGTACTTGAGCTGTTAGGGAATATAAAATAAGAGACCCACCACATCTGTATCTCTCTGGAAATGAGAGGTGGCTATTGCAATGATTGAAAACCATACTGGGCTTTAATGCTGGCAGCACAACTCACCTGGGAAATGCAAATGGAGCATCAGAAATGGTTCATATCAAATCCTACCTTGATTACACTATCTCTCTATGATACAAAGATGAATGTATTAAATAAAAGGAATATAAATGTTATAGTCATGCAAAGAGCGTATCTTTCTGGAGGAACAATACAGAATAACACTAAACATTGTTTTTCATGCCTTTTCTCAGCGGTCTCTTGCTTGGTTCCAGCAGACAGATCAGCAGCTGCAATGGGGATTTTTTGTAGCAGGTAGATTTAAGAACTCCAGAAGGAGACTCCTGATTATCGATATTTGCAACTTTTGTAATTTCAATGTATGACTTTTTATTATTAATATTTTGTAATTTTACACACTAGTTTCACATTACTTCTAAATCACCACCAAAAGTAACAACTTTAATTAGGTTTTTCAATACATATAAGACAGAAGGAGGCATTTGGAAGCCAAGCACATTGTATTTTTCCCTATCAGGCTCTAGGCAATCACTTGGATTGAAACTAAGCCAGCAAATGGAACACTCCTGTGTACATACCTCAGTTTTACCCTCAGTGAACTGGACTTGTTCATATAATTAGTGACAAGGTGAAACCCCTGTGGAGAACGAAATGATCTCCTGAGTGAAGCTGGTACTTCCTCTGACTGTAAAGCATGACTACTTGACACAGCATGTGCTTTGGAGTTTATAAAAGTGAAGGCTGGCTCGAGTCTGTGAAAGCCAAGAGAACCTTCCTGGATGATGTGGAAAAAAATCTCACAAAGTCAGTAACAAAACAAAGAGCTGCTACAAGTGTCACCCCAGAATTATGCACAGCTCTTTTGATTCTTCCCCCTGGCAGCTGTGTGAACACTGAAAGGTCCTATTTCAGGACCACAGACAAGTCCCTCTGGAAAATGAGAGGAAGAGAACAAAAAGTCAGTGGATTTTGCAAGTGGACACAAGACTCAGAAGGCGGGGAAACTACCAACGAAAACTGAGGAAAAGAACTGCTCCTACAGTCACAACACAAAGCTTAAGCTCTTGGACTGGCATCAAAAACCATTGGCACAGAAGTGGCACAGAAATGACCAAATCAGTCCTTATTTGACATTTGTGTTTCCTGATTCCACAGGAAAGAACCCAAAGTCATCATTTTCTAGGTGTACATTTTGGGACTGTATTGCAATGTAATCTTTAAACACACTGAAACGAGCTAAATATATTTTGGAGGAAAAATCAACATATTTCTCAAATATTTCTTTGGTCCTAAAAAAAGGTGTTTGCTTTTTTTTTTTAAAAAGCTTTTTTTGCTTAAAGGTGGTTATTAGCACTTAGAAGTGAAAAAGAGTACAATGTTACTCTTCAGAGCCAAAATAGCTCACTCTTTTCATGATTATTCTTATTTTACACACTTTTTCTTCTGCTTCTGTAAGGGAAATATATGCATCTATTGAGAACTTCTAACACTCTTGAGAACTGAACCTTATTATCACAAGAATGGGATAAAGTAGGTGGATGCAGAGGCAGCACCTTCGGAGTCCTTCATCCAGCTGAATGTTAGATGGGTGATTGAGTGTATTTCTATTTTAAATAATCATTTATGTGCATTAGGTAGCAGGTCCACTCAGACTGTTGAGTTTACTCAGGGTTAAGCTGGGAGTCTTGCTTTGTGCATTGGCCTTTTTTTTTTCTTTAAATAAGCCTATTGAAAGTTGACATTGGCACCCTGAAGCATTCTGAACAGCTGCTAAGAGTACACTAATGGTAGATCACACAAGCCATCACTGAGGTATCATCCAGCTCTCAGAACTGCAAACCAATCTCCTTTACTCCTCTTCTTTGAGGAGTGTCTGAATTGCTGAGGGCTAAACATATTTTCTCCTAGAGCTGTAAAATTATTACTATCCCTAAATTTTGCAGCAACATCATTGGTCGCTGAAAAGGGAGTATCATCTTTTGACTTACCTGTGGGTAAGTGGTACACTTCAAGGGTAACTTTTATGAATTACCAGTACCTATCAACAACAAAAGTAAGGTCTGTGATAAGTCTAGAAAACATTCCTTGCAATAGTTTAAGTGCAGTAAGGAAAGTGTGCGCTTGTCTCATTAAGACACAAATTCCAGCTCTACATTTTTTCAAAGCAAGTATTTATTCCTTCTAATTATTTTCATATTGGGCAAAATAATTCAGTATAGGTTTATTTTTTCTGTGGAAAAAAACATTAACAATTGCAATGAAGTAATGTAAAATGACAATTAATTCTTGCATCTCCTAAAATACAACCATTTGGCTCAAAACAATTAAGAAAAAAGAATGAACACCAAAATGCTTCTACGAGGTACTGTGTTCTCATTGACTGTATGCAAGTCTTTCCCTGAGACACGCAAACTTGTACCACATGAAACCTTTCTTCCCTTTACCCACTGCATCTTTTCGTACATTGAATTGCTAACAGAGGTACAACTTACTGCATAAAATATTCAAATATATGCAAACATGTTTGCAACGAGTAGCCACAAATCTACAGTAGCTGCCTGAAAAGGAATTTACTGTGAACACAAACATGTTCTCTACATCTGTTACATGCAGTTGGCTGCATCCCTAAAACAGTTATTCTGCTATTCCAGAAAATTCTGAAAGATGGTCTGTACAAGCTTGTGGAACAAAATGTTTTTTGTCAGTAGTGCTGCTGATACTGTCAGTATTCTTCAAGGTAAAGGGCTACAAAGTGTTGGGAATTTAAGCTTGCAATTGCAAATAGTAGGATTCCTCCCTTATTTTTTTTTTTAATTTGAAAATGTTTTACTCAAAAGCCCAAAAGAATCTATTTAGACACCTGCTGCCTCTTTACCTCTTAGCAAGCAAAAGACATGATGTGCAGTCTTGCCTAACCCAACTACTGCTTGCTCTTGCATGACCATTCCAGCTGATCAGGTCACTTACCAACACCACTTTACCCAGAGACTCTAGGCTTCAACTCCAAGGCACCTCACAGGAGCACAAACACAGGGATGGGAAGAGTATGCTTCAAAAGGATAATGCCTGCCATAAAGAAAAATGACAGGATGGTTTGGCACTCTCTAGGTGTCCAAAGCCAGTAATGTGAAGAGCATTCCCTCATTTGTAGTTGTTATGGGGTTCTCTTCAGACTCCTGCTAGAAACCTGTGGTAATTAGCCACAAGCCATCTTCACCCTGCAGCATGTGGTACACATTCTGTAGCTACCAGCACCAGCGAGATTAGTTTTGACACATATTAGGGTTACAAAGTTTATTAGTGTTGATGCAAATTTTGATTTTGACATAAGTCACATATTTTTCACTTTTGCTTAAAAAGGCAGAAATTTGCAAGCAGTCATTCTAGCACTCACTTTTCTAAAAACCTCAAGAAATATCAGAAAATATTCTGCTGTAAAAGAAGATTGTTTTCTATCACGAAAGAAAGGGGAAGAAAACTATTATCTTCTGATTCTTGTGTACAAATCACTTCAGTTTTATTATCAAACATAACAATGTAAGAAATAAACATAAAAAAACTAAAGACGCCATATTTTCTTTACCACAAATAGCTACATACTCTCTAGTAGCTCTGGCAGCTCTGATTATTCACTTAGTCTCTTAGGATACACTTTCAGCTAAAAAGATATTAAATAACCTTTTAAATCAGATATTAAACCACCTTTTCCCCTAAAGAACAATACAATAAATGGGTAGCAGTAAAGAATAATAAATAGAAAAGTTAGTAATAAATTCATTACTGCAAAAGAACAAAACTAGATTTCCTTTCTAAAATTATTTTTGGGACTTATCAGTACAGTAGATTTGGCAGGAGAATCCGGCTTGGATTTACATGTATCTGTTTCGAATGTACTCTCTGTACATGAGGAAATCATCTCTTCCCAGAAGCTGCATGTTTCCTCTTCCAGCCTGAATGTGTGCATGGAAAATCTCTATCGATTTCCTATCAGCTCTTGGAGGCTGGACTTCATAAATATTGTCTTGAGAAAAGGAGGAGATGGGTATTCTGGAAGAAAACCAAACATACAGAATATTTGAAGCTTTAGGTAAAAATTTTCCACAGAGAGAGAGAGGATTATTTCTTTTCCTTGAAATAAACAGGAGAGTCAATGAGAGGGCAAGCTCCCAGTAGATAATTCATTTACCTAGATTTTTATCACTACTGCAGACCTGATAAGACCCAGCTTTCCAAGTAGGGTAATTAGGTAAGTTGTCATTAATCCCATTACAGAATACCTTCTCACTTCCCTTTGCCCTGCCCTCATTTCTTCATCCTTCATCAGATCTGCTACGGTCAGTAAGTACCCCAGCTAAAGTAGATCTGTGCCATGCATTATAGCAGAAAAAAGAAAGACTTCATGGAGCTAATCCACTTAGTAACAATTATAACAAGTGATTATACTCTGAGCCAACACAGAGAAAGGGTTAATTAGGTAAGAAATTTCCATCTAATTATCAGGAAACAGACAATTTATTATAAGCAACAGCACTCAGATACTTTTATGAAAATATTTTTTAAATCTTCATTCAACAAATCCCATACTTGAATCCTAATGTACACATATTTTTGGGCTCAAAACTTCTCGGTTAAGAAAGCAAAGTGGCAACTTACTGTCAAAACTCACTATTTCATAAAGCAAACATCAACCAGCCCAAATGCAATGAAGATTCAGATATTAGTATCATTGCCATATTCTACAGAAGCTACAGTCATGACTCACTACCTGTGTGCTTTTCAGGATACAAAAAGTTATTTTTATATGTAGAATCTCCTCTTTTGAAAGTAAAAAAACAAGTAAGAACCGGAACACTTAAGCAAGGGGAAACCCCCCTATAAATAAAATGCCTTAATAAACTTATACTTGCATTATGGGCACAAACTAATATTTGACAGTGTTTCTAAATGAGGAGCTCCATTAAAATGACCAAAAACTCTTGCTCCCTCATTTTGCAGCCTTTTATTTTAGTAAAATATATTGTATTTTGGATGTTGCATCATGTGACAGTTCATTAGTCTTACTGCAGTGTGTCATGTAGGATATACTGTGCCTAATATTTCACTACAACTGGAATACAGTATATAAAACTAAAGGGTTTCCAAATTAAAGTAATACATTTTCATTTTATATTTCAACCTTGTGTAGCCATACAGTCAGTTGATTACTCTTTGACTGCAATGACAGAGTTACTTATAAAAATATACTATTGAACTTGAGACAATAAAATCACTGGTCATCCACAGAGATTGGCTGCATACTCTAAAACATTTTTTTTTTCCCTCAACAATGTGAGAGTTTCTTTTCATTATCACTTCTAGTTTATTTAAGGTAGTTGCTTTCAGAACTGGTAAAAACATTAGTCCAGATGCTTTAAAAGTAGATTGATTTTCAAAACATCCATAGTTCCTGCAGTACTTAATCAATGTAAAGTATCCAAGCTGAGACTCTAGCAATGGCATTTGACACTAGCACACTGTACTAACTTATTAATGTCACAATCTAACAACAAAAGATGTCACTTACTCAAATATAACTAGTCTGTTTGGTCCACTAGCAAGTGGAGAATTAAGTAAAAGAGCAAAACAGAGCACTAAATTGATGCTTTCTCTATTTATTGATTGGTTTCTAAAGATAAGACATTTCTGAAGCACTAATGACTCAAAAATCCTTTCCTTAGGTACAATGGAAGCTGGGCAGCAAAGTGCATTTAATTTTGTGCATTTAATAACTGAATCTCAATTTTCCTCCTACTTGCATCAACATGATAAAAATATATTGAAAGAACCGCATGTTCATGCATGCCAACTTTGATTAATAACCCCGTGTTAAGCTGTAACTATTTGTAGAGTGCTTGTATTATCCAGTCATTTAATTAAAAGCCATTTCTCTAACATATTAATGTAAAAATCTATTCTACTTAATAAATTTAATATCTTACAATAGTCATGAAGGAGAGCATGTTATTTATGACTTGGCTATCAGGTTTCCCTAGAGACCTGCAGCTTTATGGCCTCCCAGTGAAAATTACATAGATAGGAACATAAACTTTATGTCATGACGGACAGCACCCTTGACATGCCATTTTCATTATTTTCATCCCATTTGTGAGTAGGCTTCCTGGTGTTATGGTTTCACCAAGAGTATCAATGTCTCTACAGTAAAAGATACAGTTAAAACCTTCACTTATAATGAGGATGTTCCATACTTCCAAGGAAAAGCGCATGGTGATATGGATTAGCTCTCAGACACAGCAGTCACCAGAAAGCCACTGCATTTGTTTCAACACTGATTAGCTCTCCTCAAGCCTCTGAAGCATATCTAAAAAGTAAACAAAATGTATTTCTTCACCTTGCTTGAATCCTAAGCAAATATCCATGAGGATGATCAGAGGGCTAGAGTACCTCCCCTACAAAGACAGGCTGACAGAGTTGGGGTTGTTCAGCACAGAGACAAGGCAGCTCCAGGGAGACCTTAGAGCACCTTCCAGTGCCTAAAGGGAGCTGCAAGAGAGCTGCAGAGGGACTTTTTTAAAGGGCATGAAGTGATGGGACAAAGGGGGATGGCTTTGAGCTGAAAGAAGACAGGTTTAACTTAGGCAATAGAAGGATATCCTTCACTGTGAGGGCAGCGAGGCACTGGAACAGGTCATCCAGAGAAATTGTGTTTGCTCCATCCCTGGCAAGGCCAGGCTGGAGGGGAATTTGAGCAACCTGGTCTAGTGGAAAGTGTCTCTGCCCAGTTTCCAACCAGGGGGTTGGAACTGGATGGTGTTTAAGAGTCCTTCCAACCCAAAGCATTTTAGGACCTGACCTGAAGCAGAGGCACTGAAAACAGCTCAGATGCTCATGTATTCACCAGCCACACTTTGGTACAAGGATGTTTAAGCATGCTCACACTCTTCTTTTTTGCTACAGGGAACCAAAACACTCAATTCCCTTTTAAGGAGGGAATAAAGTTTCTTGTACTCCTAGATAAATGTATGAAGCACATTTGAAAAGGTTTTAAGAGTGTATTTTTACAACAGTATTATTTACATCATACCAAAATGAACACTAGGGAATTAGGGAATTAGGAACAGGTGCAGTGTGTCAGCCAACAGTAATTACACTACAGTACTTAGAGTCCCTCTTCATTCACATTATAATAGATTGTGCTAAAAGTGGTCCAGCTCTGTTTAGCTCTATTTAGCTCTAACTAAAATTCCATCATTTTTTCCTTCATGGAGTTTCTAAGAACAAAAAGAATTTCAATATCCTTCCACATCCTCCACTCACCCTCACTATTATTTCACTGCATCACTTTGGTCCCTGTTCAAGTCCCTATATTTTATTTCTAGTCTATACTTACAGTTCCTAAATTTAAGCCGGAACCTTCTCTTCAGTATTTATACAATTCATATTTGAATTTGTCAATATCACTGCATAGATATTATAAAAATAAGAAATAGTTCTTCTTTTGTAGCAGCTTCATGTATTTGATTAAAATGGTCAAGTGTTTAAAATTGTGAAATGTGGGGTTATTAAAAAAGATTTTCTTGAGAAGTGTGGAAAAGACAACTAACCTAAGCCTAAATTATGTCTCACTGCTGATATGAAACCAAAGTTTTAGACTGAGTGTTTAATTTTACTATGAAAAGAACTAGGGTTTGATTGCATTTGTATCATATATGAAGCAACCACTGGAGAATAAAATTTGTCTGATTTTTTTTTTTCAATTTAAAAGGCATCTAACATCAAATTAATAAAAGTTAGTATAATTTTTCAATTTCTTCAAGAGCTCCTTGAGAAACAGGCACAAGCTGTGCCTCAGCTGCTGTTACTGAAAACCCTCCCTCTCTCCCTAATCTTGAGTACACTTATGTTCATTCTATTTTATCTCTAAAATGTTAGTATTCTCCAAGGAAATTCCTGATTCACAGCTGTAATTTAAACTCAGTAAAAAAAAAGCTTCCTTGTTTCAGAGTTGAACAACATGCCTTTTAAGAATGGCTACATTTATGACTTTAACTAAAAGAACAATCTGTCACCATCCAAACAGTATTTAAACATTTTAAAAAAGTAACAGAATAAAACCCAAAGAAAATTTTTAAGCTGTCAGGGGATATACTGTAATAAAAAAGAAATTATCAGCTCTAAGATACCCTATTTCCTCTCTGATCTGCACAGAGGAGCATGTTAGAAGTGGCAAGAGAGATGATCTACATGACTTCAACAGGAGGAGTAACAGGAGGCGCAGATTTGTGTGCCCTATGACTTTTACACTTCTACTATTCAGAAACACATGGAAATCACACTTGGGAAAAGAGAAAAATTAACATCTGACTATCCCAAAACTACCAGAATTCTGTGTAGGGACTCTCTTTAATGTCTTCATTTTACAGATGCTCAGCATTGGGAAAAAAAAATTGTATTTAAAGGGATAAGAAAGGAATTGTTATCTCCTACACTGTCTTACATGCTGGGAGATTCTGCAATTACAAAAAAGAAATTGCCTTTATTCACAGCAAAAATATTCTTCTTACAAAATATTTTATTAATAAACATGTCAATTTAAAACATTCATGCTTGCTCCCTTATATTGAAAAACAGTTTTACAGTTTTCCAATCTAATTTACTACTTTCATACCCATTAGGCATGTTTTATTATAAAACTATGGGCTCATTTACCTACAAATGTGGTATTACCACTTTCATTGTAGCTAATACCAAGTGAATAAACACTGCTATCAGACAGTATTGTCTCACACAGCATTGCATCTGTTTCATGTCATTCTTTCTTAGCCCAACTGAGACTCACCCACTCTCTCTCCCTGCTTAGGTATAAATGCTATGTTCAAGGCTTCATCAGCTCACTTCATCAGCTCAGAGGGGTGGACAACAGGCAGTGCAGGAAACAAAGTTGGGGCTTCTGTAAATCAATGGATTGCAGAAAAGTTTTGGCAGTTCTAAGTGCCCATGCTGTTGGATAAAGGATCGTGTACTCCCAGTGACAGAAGTAAATAAAATTCTGCCTTGTCTTGGTGAAACTTTAAGCTGCCTGCAGTACAGGAAGATGTCAACTGGGAAAGTTGTACTTGATCATCTAAATTGTAAGACCTGATTCAATGTTAGTATGACATTTGGATAATAGCACAACCCTTTTTATACAGTTGTACTAAGAAGATTCAGTTGCAGCTTTGAACATTTTTTAGTGAAGAACATGCAAGAACAAATTGCCCTCTAAACTCAGTAGATTCAGCACTTCGTGTTAATTCAGGATTGCTAATACTTTTGAATACAACCCCCATGATACTACAAAGACTAAAAAACAAAACAAAAAACAAGACTCCCCAAAATAATAGAAACAAAAAACAAACCTTCAAAAAGACAGTTTTTCATGCTATGCATTGAATCCCCTTATGCAGTAAAGAAAATGAAAGTGTGACTCTCAAGCAATTTAACATCAAATTTACCTGATCACTTTTTATATCTAATGACATAAGCAAAATCAAGCTAAAGGGAAAAAGAAAAAGAATACTTACAAATTTATGACCTTATCCAAGAGGTGTTTTGAACAAAATTGCTGGCTGCCCTTGTCTTGTTTATGCTGGCTCTGTCCCAGCTGAACAAACCTGTGAAAAGCAGTAGATTGAAGAATAAATCTAAGAAATAAAGGAACTATCCCCCAAAAATCATCAAACAGAAGAAAATTACACTAAGAAATGAGATTTTGAGTCATGCTGTGTAAGTCACTGATCATGATGTACTTGTCTGGTGAACAAGAGAGATTTTTAAAAGTTGATAGAGGGTGCATGCATGAACTCAGAACCTCCTTTGAGAAATGATTTGCTTATCCATTTGTGTCACCTAGTATGTCACGGGAAGAAACAAGCTTCCCCTAAGAAACAGACAGCCCTCTACAGTCAATTTGTCCTATGTCCTTCTCAAAGCAATCAGTCAGAGGAACAGCCTATGGAAAAATCAGCAAAAGACACAAAGTCTCTCAAGTTTCAGATTTAAGTTAGTCCTCTGCTGAATTCAATCTAGTTTATTCATCTGAAACGCTGTTAAGTCCAGATCACTTATTTACAGACACAACCTTTTGGGACAATTTCTCCATCTCCAAATATTTGCTGGAAGACACTGCCAATGGAAAATACTGTCATGGCTTTTTTTCTTGGCAATGAAATGGAAAAAAATCTTCTGAAAAGTAGTTTATCACTAATCTTAGTCACTCAGAATAGAAGGAAAAGTCAGAAGGTTTCAAATGTAAATATATGTAGCTATCTTGCACTCAATTTGTTCACTCTCCAACACAGCTGTGCCACTGAAGAGACAAGCAAATGCCAGTTGCGATTTACTAGTTTAATTTTCTGAGGCAGAGTGTTTTTCTTAACAGTGAGTTTCCATCTAGCTTAAGAAGTCTTACTGGTCTAGCTCAGGAATATTTACTACATTTTAACAAGCAACTATTACCAGTGCAAAACCAATTGCAGGAACGAGTGTACAGAAGTCAAATGAACAACATGTTCCTAAACAACTTATTGTAGCTTTTCTTTCCACTCCATTCAGATTCTATGTTTTGGTAGAAACAAAAGCCTCAGGGACAAGCAACATCACTTTGACCATAAAAGGAATAAATACTTACACTACTAAATAAGAGAATTTTACATGGAAATCAAGATAATTAAGATCATCTTGTGCAGGAGCCTGCTATTGAAACCAACTTAAAAAAATTCAAAGGCAAACCAATTGCATTAGTATTTTAATTCAGGGCTTCAAATTACTCAATATTTTGAAAGTTAAAAGACCTAAATGCACACAAGCAAGTTTCCCAACATCAGGAAGATACCATGCACAGTTGATCTGCAGCATACATCCTCAAATTATTTGAGGGACTTCCTGTCCCTTCTAAATTCAACCAACCTGGGCTTCTGTGATTTCTGTTTTGATAAGATTTATCTCAGCCATCAGTGAAAACAGGCTGAATGGATCCAAATTACTTTTAATTTGCATTTGCAAATAGGCTTAATATAGATCAGTTGATATAAAGCAACTTAACCTGAAGTACTTTGAATCTGTGAGACCTTAATCCTAATCAGGAAAAAACATGTAACATGTCCAGCGATGTCACGTGGAGTCAGGATCTTACATCTTCATTTCCCTTATTACACTAACAGAAAAAGGCTTGATGTGAGAACTGTAATCATACTGTGAAAGAAATTGCTGCTATTCTCAAGCAATGTACATTTTAGAAAGTATAGATTTTACTGACATCCTTTATTACATAAATCAGCACACCAGACCAGAAATAGCACTATGTCTTGTTGGCGAAAAGAGATAAAGAATTTGTAATTTTTTCTATTTTTAAAACCTGCATTGCTTGAAGGAAATGAAAGGTTTATTATGGTTTTTTCTTAAAAAGGATATAAATAGGGTGCTTCAAAGCCTCCAAGGTGCTTACAGTTTTATATTAACCATAGATTGAACATTAGTCCAGCCTGAAGAAATTATGAAATTGGAAGCAGCTGCAGTTCTGGATGTTAACACAGAGTTGTTCATCTGCACAGAGAAACTCACAGTAGATACCAGCTTACACTTGGCCATTTTCAGAACCACAATAACTACCTGCTGTATCAAAGGATAGTTGTCAAATTTGCATCCATCTTCCAGGGTTAAAATAAAAAAGAAACAAAGGTAGAGGCATAGCCGAGGGTAAAAATTTCAGATATAATGAGAAACCATCCTCCTTCACCCTATTCAAGTGTAGTATCTTCAAATGACTCAGCTTGTAGGAAATAGGTAGAAATGGGAATTTTAAAGAACAGAAGAGTGCAAGAGAAATATCTTCACCCAAAGAAAAGGTAAGATAAAAGTAATTTTAAATAAAAAGAAAAAATGCTTTGAGTAGATTAAAGAACTAAGTCAGCATGAAACACCACATATCATCAAATTAGATATCACAGTGAATTAAAATTTTCCTTAAAAATTTATAAGGTTTCAAATATAACAAGGTAGCTACTGCTATTACACATTAGAAAATAAAAACAAATGCACACAAGGCCATTTCAATGCATGTTTCACAACTATTCATTTCAATATACACACAGTACTTTCCTGAGACGAGGTGTAGATTTCTTAGACCCCTATATGACATCATGTTAAACAAAAAGACAACTTCTATTGTTTTATATGAGTTTTTACAAAACAAGCTATTTCGTTGTGACTGACTTGAACTGGAACAATTCAACACTTGAAAAATACAAACCCTACAGTTAACAAAGCTTACAATCATGGAACCATTCCTGTGGAATTTACTTATCAATGGAATATGGAATTCCTATGAATTTACTTATTAATTTCTAGGATTATTTCAAGTGACAGTTATTTCTTTTGAAGCATCTTTCATTTGATTTAAGCTCCAAATTTTGCATTCAGAAACACCTGCATAGCTTCCACTGAAATCAGAATTGACACAAACAGCTGAAAATAGTCTCATTTTGAAAGACATAGCATACATAGACAAATTTCTCCTTTAAATTAGTTTAATCAAAGGCAGCACTTTGACAAACTGCACTTAACTAGCTCAAATTATCCTTTGACGATTACCACTGGAAATTTATCTCACCTTGCATATATTGCAAGATCATCTTCTGAAGGGATATCTGAAAGATTGACTCCATACACATCTTTTGTTGATTGCACTACATTCTGGAACATAAGAAAGATTCAGATTAAGAATACTGTAACAACATCTAAAGAAAGTTTACTCTTAAGAAAGAACTTCCTTAGAAAACAAAATATAATTTCAGAAGTGCAGACAAAACCAAACAGGTTTCTCACATCCACAGCAATCTTAACTTACACATATTTTTTTAAGAAAATAATTTATTAGAAATATAAATCCACACATTTATTCAACAAGGAAAGAATTCTTGAAAGATATAATCAGCTAAAACAATGTATTAGGAGAATAAATTATATTAATTGAACATAATGGTGTAGTTATTAAATTCTGTTCTGTGTTGAAACTTAATATAGAATAAATCATATTCGTTCAGAACATGCTCCCACATTTGCTTTCACATTTCCTGCTGTCAATTCTGCAATAATTACAAACCTCAGGTTGAACAAAACTATTTTTATTTTATACATTATGCAATCATGTCAGTCAACTATAACAAGGAATCAATGCACTTGCAATAGTTCACCAACTGTGTCTAGTGACTCAGTGCTAAACTAGAGGGGGGTTTTCTGACAAGCCACATATGACTGTGAGTCAAATATAAAGACAGCTTTCCCTTATTTCAAAATGATTCCAAGTCAAAGAATTTCAGAAAGGTATGTCCTGACCAGAAGTATAAATGTATCTTTTATTAACTTCTCAGAAATGTGAACAGAAAGGAACTTGCTTTTTGAGTTTCCCAGATAATAAGGAATGGCATGAATTGACGATGCAAATTATGACTAAGATTCAATGCATGAAAAGGTGATAATAAATTGGAATATATTTCTCCATATAATTACTAAAAATTCAGAATAGCTCAGTCAATTTTTAAGCCATTGAAATTCAATATTTCAAATCATACTTTGTATTTACATAAACCTTTCATTTAAGAATTTTTAAAATCTAAAAAAGTTATCTTAGGTCTGAGTGCTGAAGTGTGTTCAAAACAAGAGGGGAAAACTAATGTGACATGAACTGTGCAACTGTAGGAACCAAGAATAAAATTTCAACTTGGATTTTTGTTAAAAAATAGAAACAATCTGATTTGCTGAAGAACAGGTACTCTTATTCAGAGATAATGGAAAACTTTCAGATAAAATACCTTGCATTAACACAAATAAATAAATGTGCTTGTACTGGAGTAGGAAGAAGACACTATTGCACTATTGAAGGCTGAAAATCCATTATCTGAGAACACACTACCCTAGGCTAAAGACTGAATAGAATCAAAATTTGAATTGTGCCAATAAATAAATAAATAAATAAAAGGCAGTGTAATTGTCTGTTGCCTATCAGGCACTACCTTTTATGCTATGGTCACAAATACCCAATTTTCTTCAGAAGTGACAACATGCACAATCCTATAACCATTTAAATTAGCTGTGACTTTAAAAAAAACAACCCGGCCAGACAATGTAAGTATTTTCCAAACTTCTATAGTATAAATTAGCATAACCTTTTGCAAAGACACTTTCAGTGGTATCCAAAATGGATATCTACAAGAGAGAATTTGAAGAACTATTACATGAACAAATAAAATAGATACTTCCATAATTCCTTATACAACTCATATTTTCATTAAATTAGCACCCAAGGGATTCCAACAAAATGGAACTTATGCAAGCAAAAAAAGATTAATAGCCAACTGAAAATATACATTCTTTCCATCTGACTGGGCAAATGCAATTTATTTCACTATTTTATTCACTGCCATTATCTGCAACCTTAGTAGCAGTAATAGCACAGGACCTGCTGTGTTACCTGTGGTAACATTTTCATGCACATTTTTGAAGCTAGTTAAGTTTTTTTAAATGCCAGACCACATAATCATGAGACAGCAATTTAAAAGTGTTCACATCAATTAGGTTGAAATTTAGACAGAATGAACATTAATTTGCAGTTAATCGACCTAAGCAAGTGGCATAGTTTAAAAGGAATTACTTTGTAATTCCAAGAGGTGGTTCTCAGGACCTCAGGTTCATATTACATCTCTTTAAAGGGGATTGCTCCAGATTGACTCCTATAGACTAAATGTTGATTAAGTAGGTAGATCTAGTACATCCCTAGAGAAAAGGAATCTCATTTGCATGCTCCAAGGACACCTAATGATGTGTACCAGAGCATGGTAACAGGCAATAATCAGACAATCAGACATGTGTTACTGCTCTGAATTAACACACTCATACAGGTGGATTTTACATGATGTAATGACCCAAATACCTTTCAAATGCCATACCTTTCTGACAGTAGTTTTCTTTTTTTTTATGCTATTTGTGTTTCACTATAACGTGACAAAAACAACAGCAAAGGTTAAGAAGCAGTTGTGCTGCAGTTATGCTATTATCTACACCAAAAAAATTGCACTGGGGACCTTTGTCACTAAATTTCTCAGTGCTTTACTTCTGACTGTTCTATAAGGCATTTTTAAGGGAGTGTGAATTTTTAACCTTGCCGAACACAGTGATTTCTTACCTCTGCAATTTTTGTATTGTCTCCTGTATCAGTCACCTTTACTGGAGTTGAACGCTGAGAAACAGCACCCTCATCTTCTTTATCAGTCCCAGAATCATCTTCAGAGCTACTTGACACTGCTTCCTCACTTGGGGGTGGAGGAGCACTAGCAGCTGTTTTGCGCTGCAGCACAGTTTCTTCTCTATTATTTTTGTTCCTATTAGGAAAGGCAGTGTGTATTTATGAAAACAGCAAGATCTTAGCAATGAATATTTAAAATTCCTAATCTTGGTTACAATCTTTCCAGGGAAATACGTTTTAACCTCTGGGGCAACTTTTTGCTCATCTTTTAAATTCCCCGATTCATTTGTCTTCTTCAATCTTGTTATTCCAGAGCATTTAAAGAAACGCCAAAGGATTCTGTCAGCTTTTCTCCACCAGTTCTCTGATTCTTTACATAAATCTCTCCCCACAAATGAATAAACAAAAAGGAATAAAAAATAATTGAGGCATAATATCTTTGGTTTTGATCTTGGAAAAAGTTTCACTTTCTGATTAGTAACAACATCCAGTCCAATAGCTTCCTTAATCTTGACGGTAATGGTTCCAAATCTTAATGGTAATGTCACTTTTTTTCCCCTTATTTTCCATACCTCTTCCCTCAATTTAATTCTTTAATCAGCAACATTTCTTAAAGCAGTATATTTCTCACTCAAGAAATTCTAGTCAATATAAAGAGATGCCTTATTTATAAGAGACCTTCAAGGTACAGCATCTCTATGTAAGTAGGCTAACACAGGATTTAAGTGTATGCACCCATGAGAAATCATACCAGATTTATGTGTTCTACATCCTTTCCTACTGGCCACAGAAGAATATTTAGTTGCAATTTCCTCTCAGACACTGTCACAATCTTTCAGGGAAGGCAGTTAATGAATAGACATTAACTAATGAATGGACAGTTTATCACTGGAAATAAGGAAGGAACATCTCTTCCTTGCTGCACTGACTGTCCCATGTATCACTGACAGACAGTGTGTGACTTATTCTAAAGGAAGACAGCAGCATGCTAGAGGCTGTGAAACGAGTACAAAGATTGATGCAAATGCTATTTGGAGATACAGGTCTAGTGCTCTCATCAGCATCACTTGAGCCCTAGTGGAGCACACCACAACTGTTACAGATGCCGCCTCTTGAAGCGAAACTCACACAGCAGTTTATTCCTGAACTGAATTAGCTACGCATTGAGTGCTCAAGGAACACATATAAAGATGTAAGAGAGTCCTTCCAAAGGTTGTGATCTGAGAGCACACACCACCCCCTAGGACATTATTGTATCAAAAGAAATCTTAGAGCTGGAGCAAATGCTTTGGGGAAAACAGCACCGCAGGAGAGTTTGATTTCTGACTCGGAAGAACCTGACACCTCCTTGGACTGAAATTCACAGGAAGTTATGAAGACATAAGCATTCTTTTTAGGGAAAGCAAAGGGATTTTTCCCTATTTTTCTAGATGAGGTGAAGGTGATAAGAAAAGCAGTCCTTTCTGAAAGCTGAGGAATGGAGCAAGTAGCCAACACTGCTAGGAGTGTTATCCTCACCCCACTCCCATCACGTACTCAGCCAAGATGCAGAGTACATCAGCATGTCTGGGACCTGAACATCTACACACACAAAAAGAGATCACAAATTTCCTTCAGAAATGTCTTAGGTCAAAAGATCATGCCAAATGATCATGGCAAAGGTACCACCTTTTGCAAGGCTAAATGTGGGTGAGGTGCAAGAGCGAATCAACGTTTTACACTACAACACAGTCAACGAAAGGAAATTTCTTCAATGAAAATGGAAGTGATATGCAGGGAGTCCTGGAATGTGGCTTTGATGGAGCTGATTCTCTGTCTCACATCAATCCCTGAAATTTACAGTGATGAGCTAGAATAAAAGTGCCTGAGAAAATTATATAACGGTCAACTGTTTAATGGAGTAACTAGAGACAAATTAGTCCAAAATCTGACATTCTACCAAAGTGGAAGAATAAAGCTTATCCTCAAAATACTCATAAACTCAAATTCTTAGCAGAGATAAACTGTGCAACAGTTGAACAGTCTTCCTGTTTATTCCCAGGGAATCAGTAGCATGAAATGATGTCTTACTAGTGATAAGCACAGTCTATTCTCAACATTTATGGACAATGAGACCCTCAGGATCAGAACACATGAGACAGTCAAATGTTCTAGTGTTTTACAGAACAGCAAGTTTTCAGAGGAACTTATAATGTTGTGACAGCACAGTAACTACTGACAAAAGGTTTCCTTAATATGAGCTACCAAAGAGAGAATGAATTTATGAAGATTCTACACAGCTCTTGTGGGACACAGCAGTGGAATAAAGAGAGTAACAAAGCAGGTCCAGAATGAAAAAGCAGTTAAATGAAACATTCATTTGTCCCAGCAACTGTTGCTGGATTGTTTTATATAATTTTATCCATAAACATTTTAATAACGTATTTTATCAAAGACTATGCTGATATTGGCATTTACTGCTGTTTCAGAATATGCACCATTTATGAAAAATTTATAATTTTTTTAAAGACAACAAGAAAATATGCACTGCTGTCAACACCAATAGAGAATAGAGTTGCCACTAGGATGAAGAGATTATTAAATTTTAATAACTTCTGTATATTATTGATAAAATCTTCTCATGATTTTCACTTTGAGGAATGAGAGAAAACAGAAAATATTAAACAAGTTGAATTAAAATTCCTAGTGTCAAATAAAAATCTCAAATTAGGTGTGATTTTCAAAGTGTGCAATTCTGCAGTATAACTCAAATGAATTTTTTATTTCCCATGTAACACAGAATATGCTTCACCTTAGGCATAAAATCTCTGCCAAAATAGAAAAGAAAAAGTATCCATGAACAAAGTGCTTGCTTTAAAAAATTAAATTTTCTGGAAGAAACACCTCTAACATCTACCTGTGAACTAAAAAAAAATATCTCTTTATGATGATGTTTTAAGTTCTAAATTTATAATTTCAAGTTGGTGTATATATTACCTTTATAATTTCAAGTTGGTGTATATATTACCTAGGTATTTAAAAAACTTTCAGTTGCATTATTTAGTTCCATAAAACAGCTGCAAGTATCACCACTTGCCAAAGATGCCAAAGCATTGTACCCCATTCCTGTGCTGAAGAAGCCCGAGTTACTGGGCATAATAACGTAAAACAACATAAAAGCAATAACTTTGTCCATTGTTTTCAAAATGCTGCCAACACACAAATTGGGTGAAACAGCTACATGAAACTTAATTTGCCTGGAAATCTTTAGCCAAACCATGATTCAAATTATATTCAGAATATCCAGCTGACTGCTGCCAACAAAAAACCCCAAAAATATCAGTTGTGAGAACCAGATGAACTGAAGAAAACAAGTGCAAAACGAGAATAGAACAAGGAGAAAATAATTGTTTTGAAAGTAGCCTCTGTGATCTGAGTCAACAAAGTTCATCTCTCAGCCATCAAGTGCCCAGACACTAGGCATTCCACAACAAAAAATAATTGGAAATCTAATTGCTATTTTAATAGATTTTTTATAGAGTAACATTTCAATGTAGCATTGTGATTTCGTTTCAAGAACTTCACTAAATTTGAAATTACACATATTTAACCTAATAAGTCAAATGCATATTTAATTCACACCAAATCAACCTCCAGTCAAGGATTTAGTCACAAAACATCCCAACATACCGTGTAGAATTGGTCATTGCCAAGCAGAAGGTCTCATCAAAACTGCTCAACTCATATGGCCTAAAAAACTCATTGTGGATATCAATTTCCTCTTCGTATTTGTGGAATTTCTTCACTGTCAACTTGCGTCTGTTTTCAGCACACGTCACTGAGGGTGAAAAAAAAAACCAATCCTTTTACTAGCAATTACTGACTCTTGCAAAAATCTAATCAAACCATAGCCTGCTCACCTAACCACCATACCAGGCAACTTCCTCCTACAGTCATATCCCCTCTGAGACAAGGAAATATGACATGAAGAAGATGCATTGCACATCTTTAATAAATATGCATTATCAACCACTATAATTTGATTTCATTTCATGATGTCTATTTCTAATGAAACATGCCCTGCAGTACCCCAGAGAAATAAGACTATCTACACCAGCTATATTGCATCATCTTCAACAGGAATAGGACCACTAGCACAGACTATAACTATATCTAATAGACAAGAAAAAAAGAAAAAATTAGTAAGTGTGCCCTGGCTTATAAACATATGAAAGTCAGGTTTCAGCCACTCTTGCAACCTGCAACTGAAAAATCCTATCTCCTTGCAGAGGGGAGAAAGAGGAGAAGTATTTAGAAACCATTATGGAAACACTCTTTTTTTCAGATCTGGGATCTAAGCCAGTTAAAAAGCATTTGTGACTAAAACTTCTTTTTCAAGATACTTTGCAAGGCAAGGAGCAAATATAGGTCCTACCTTCATCAAAAGGAAGAGGTAAATGCTTTAGCACACCTGTGGTCCACCAGTAAGTATAGCTGTACAGGAAAAACAGAAACACAATTGATACAGGAGATTTGGTCTTGTATCCAGCCTATCCAGTTTGAAAGTAACATTCACCCATCCATACAGTGTCACTTCAGCAAACATTGCTAAATTAGATGGAGGATTTCAACAGGCTCTTGTCCAACTACTTTGCTCTCAAATCAAGAAATTTAATGCACAAAACTCAATACAGGGATGGACAGAAGAGTGCTTTTATTTCATAAAAAAAAAAATACATTTTAGGTGCCTACCTCTACAGCACTGAAAATTTAAGTCTTAGTACATTCAAAAGTATTTATGTATTTCTCTTGTTCTGGTCACTGGAAGGTGGGAGGAGTCGGGGGAAGTCATCCCCTCACAAATGTTATTCAGACCCAAAAAGGAAAAACGTATGAAGAAGTGAAGGTCAATGTTAATAAGATCGGATGATTGTCAAAGCAGCTGATTTTTACACAAAGAAATACATTTTGATGTAGCAGCTGAATCATTAATTATATAGAAGTAAAAGAAGAACCATAATAAGTATCTTCCTCCTGAAGAGGAAGCAATTATAACATAGGAAAAGCACAGATAGTCAAAAGAAGTTTCAATGACAGGAAACATCATCTTCCTTCTCCTATATCCTTAATTTCATTATGAGTGTCATTATTTCTTTTGCTGCTGTGCCCAAGGAACCTAAAAGAGGCACTACACAGGCAGAAAAAAGTTACACAAAGAACTTGTGCAAATGTTTGGTAGAAAAATTACCAAAAAAAACCCAAACAAAACAAAAAAACCACCAAAAATTACAAAAAATTACCTAGAGGAGGTTTTTTTCATGTATTTATTTCACCTAGTTATTACAGGAAGTTGTCATTTTAGTCACATAATGAAACATCTTGATTGTATATTATAACTTTTCAGAAGAAATTCTGGTTAGAATGAAAGATAAAAATAATAAGTAAATGAAGAGTACCAACATTTCTTTTTAATAATCCTCCTCATTTGAGACCAGTATGTGTGACAAATAAGAGACGGTTGTTTTAACAAAGTAACAGATGAAAGGGAGACTAGAATATTTGCATATTTGCAATATATCAGCTGAATTAATTTTAGACGTACAATAATTTTCAGAACAAGTAGTCAAGAAAATTAATATTGCATGTTTAATGCATGCCTGAAATAGTACTTGGTTGTATGGCTCATATAAGCTACCTTTAAGAGAAGCCTCAGGAGACAATACAAGACTGAAATTCAGAAAGAGCCGTATCATGTGCCAGCTGCTGTGACAGGTTAACAGAATAAGCAGCCAACAGGGACTGATCACACTGGTTAAACACTTGTAGTTTTGCTCAGACAAAAATCTAAATGCACATATTCAGATCTACCATTTTACTAAAGAGCTTTATGGCTCACTGAATGAATAAAGACAAAACCAGCCAAAATCCTAAGAGATTATTTAGTTGACAAGTTGAGTACTGTCCTTTTTGTTAAAATGGATTTTTTTTAAACACACAGTATTTGTAATCTTCAAAAAAATCATTTACTGCTGTGAAGGAATCAAATTACTTTAAAATTCTTATACTTTATTACTTCTGTATATTACCATGCAACTACAGTGGAATGCAAATGAAGAAAAATAGTCCTCAAAATAGGCTAGACATAGGCTGAAAGGAAAGTAGAAAATCATGGCTTTCTTGGTATGCACAGCTGCAGACTAAGTGCAGTACATAAAAAAACAAATGTTATCCTTATTACATAATCTCAAATTCAACCATTAATAAATCTGACAATGAAGAATACACCTATATATTTCATAATGAAACTGCAGTAACTATACTTCAGTAAAACAGCGAAGCATTTTACACTGAAGGATAGAATTTAATATGATATTAAACTTCTTTTTAAGTACCACAGGAAAATAACATACTAAAGCAAATTCTTTGAAATATCAACACTCAGCATTTTTTGGTAATCTCTTGGAGGTGGTTTTTTTAAGCTTTTGTATAAACATAAAAAAGTAAGCAAGTTTTTGACAGGCTGACCTAATTATCTGATTAGCAACGTGAATTTTTTAGAGGTTATTAGAGCAATACCAAACAAAACAATAAACAGAACAGCAAAATACCTTTGCCTTGCCTGTGACAGACTGAGGGTGTTCTTGTGATGCAAATAAAAATCAGTGGGAAGTTCCCAGAGATGTGGCTTTCCTTCTGCAGGCTTAAACACTCCCAGAAAGAGATTGATAGAATCTTGCCTGTCCGCATCTGTTGGACAAGAGGCACACTTAACACCAGGAGCACTGCACAGTTCAAGCCCATTCAGACATTGCTTCTCTTTGCTCTTCAGAGAGAGTGTCTGTGTCCTGTAACTGCTGCAGGGCCCTCTGGGCTTCAAGCAGCACCATGGAACTTCATTTACAGCAGACCTACTACGCTGAATAACGACTCAATGAAATTAAACAATATCCATAAAATACAAGTTTCCAACAAAACATACGAATTATGAATTCCTTGGGACTTTCTTTTCAATACATAGTAAAATGATGACATTTCACAAACACCTCTTAGTAATTTGGACTTGTCCCCTGTTAGCTTAAATCATCAATTCAGCTTGTCATATTCTTAGCTCCACCAAATTATTATTCAATATGTGTCGTTTTCTCATCTGTACAACTTAATTAGTAGTAATTATCCTAAGAGCATTGAGGTCAACAGATGAAAATATTTTCTTGTAAGAGTAGATTATTTTTAGATTCATGTATTTTGAATGATAGACAAGCAGTACATGTGTGCCTAAGAGATTTATTTAGGAGGATGTGATAGCAGGCCTCTTTTAAGCCTACTCTTATATACTGTATGACTCCAAGCTAATCACTAAATTTTTCTGAGTCTGTTTTATTTAGGTACATAAAATATACAAGCACTAAAAAAAAAGTTTCTTGGATCAGAAACACAAAAAAATGCTAATTCATGAATAGCTAGCCCTTAGCTTCTTATTTGCATTTTAAAGGATATATGAGGGATAGCAACAATATTAAATGTAGTACAGCAAATCAGCATCTTGTTCTAAAACTGTTTCCTTTTTCTCTACTTTCTTAGCAAACTTAAAGAATAAAATGGTCTTTCTCAATGTGCCACATTAGCAAACTAGCTGTTGCCATATGAACAGGCAGTGTTGGACAGTGAATCTTTAAATTTCATTGAAACAAATATTTTAAAACTCTAAAACTAAAAATGCAACAAAGTAAATATGACATTGAATGCTACATTTCAGCAATGTCATCTTCAAACACAAGGAATGCATACTGCTACAAAAATATATGCCTTGAATGGGATCAAATACCAAAATCATAAGTAAATTGGAGAAAGTGTGCAGCACCTTTAAGAAAATTTCATTCAAACACAGTACTGACTTCAGTAAAGACAAATGTCTTTTTTGTGTACTTTCCTACAAGTTCATTGAGGTGACAAGATGGACTTCATTTCTAAATTTTTTCTTCTTTTTTTAACATCTTTTTAAGAACAAATTCTTTTATTACTAGAAGACATGCAGATCATGACTATCCTTGCAAGCAGACTACAACCCCAAATGTGGACCTAGAACTTTGCTCAGGCGTCCACCTAACCATTTCAGTGGCTGGCACAAAAGTGAACAGCTGAGGGATTTGTTCCTTCTTCTATGTCACAGTACAGGTGACACTGCAAGTGTGCTACCTTCAGCTCATAAGAATTGATGAAGCCAGACTTTATTGCCAATCATAAAAATAAGAGAACACATCACTGAAATAAACAAGTTCTCCAATTTCCATTTAGTTTGGACAAATATGATACACAAAGAAATTCAGAAAAGTTACATTCAGAAAAGTTACTCTAAATGGTGTGCTCTCAATAGTGTTATATACACATAATTTCCACCAAAGAAACCAGAGATTATTGAAGTATTTCTAGCCATTGTCCAATTCTGTTTTAAAGTTCACAGTCTCTAAATAATTGCAGTCTACTAGGACAAAGGGAAAAAAAGTACTTCCACTCTGACTATGCAACTTTTATGAAAAAGAGTAGTAGAGGACTGACACAATATTTATAACACAGTAGCACTCAGTGTTTGCCCTTCTGACATGTCTGAGACTGTCCTTTGATCATTCTTTTAGATCTTTGGCAAGACTTCTAAACACACCACACTTTTTTTTTGTTATTTTGCCTAAGATAAGGCTCAGCATTTTTCAAAGCTTTCCCTTAGCAATGTTGCCCAGAAGAAAGTAGAACACTCAGTGTTCAACTAATGAGTGATATGAAAGGAGAAAGTTAATATTTTACAGCTTATTTAACTGAAAAAAATAGTTTATTTACTTAGTTTTTGAATTTAATTTTGTCTTTTCTACCAAAGATTTAACAGTTTGTAGCTCCTATTTACATAAAACAATTACATGCATTACAGCTTACTTTCTTTTGAGCTCTCAGAAACATCACAAGAAATATTCTACATGAAGCCTTGTACCCATGTTTAGATTTACCAGTTTCCTTATATTTGGTGAAGACATTCTGTCCAACATTTTAAAACTCTCTCACACCTACCTGCTTCACTACTGATCTACAAATGTCACTGACATTTGTCAGATGTGGTGCTACATATGCGCGTTTCCTAAATCAAGGGCTGCATGCTATAACATCGGATAAATAAAGATATCAAATCAGAACACTATGTGAGATGTTACCAAATTATTTGGAAATTATAGTATAGAGGAGCTTTGTCATAAGGTAATAGTGTAGATTACTGAAACATCATGAGTAAGATGTTTTGTAAACACTTTATTTTACCTGAGAAAGCATTACTATAGTATCTTGAGAGTGTTTGCATAATATCTTTGGAATGCTGAGTCCATGGAGCAATCTTTCTGTATGTTTTCACTCTGTGGACAAGCTGAGAGCCTCCATACTGCAGAGAAAGCGTGTCTCCATGATCTTCATATAATTCTTCAAATAATCTGAAGGAAAAGCAAAATGTGTCATCAATCAAACTTCTGAATAGCATTTTTAAAGAGAAAATATAATAAAGCCTTTCTGCAAATGAAATACAATTTCTTCTCCTTTATTCAGATAAATATGTGGAAATTTTATTCAGATATAATAATTACTAAGAAGGTTTAGACTTTGAGATTTTCATTACTTTTTAATACAAAAGAGGTTCACACAGAGTATGCAATTCTGTAGATTCAGGAAATGGATTAACATGTCCTACTGCTTAATGGGGAGAAAATAAATAATACATCTCTAATAACCAAGGCATGTTTAATACACTAAAAAGGGCCAGAACACATCAATATCTCAAGTATACATTTTCTGTTAAGTACACCAGGAATGAAGTTAGAATAACCTTCCAAAAATCTCCATAGTTACAATAATGATAGCTCAAAGGTAAAAAATGAATAAACATGACTTGTAAGAAAAGTATATGGCAGTCAGGTAACATTTTCTGGAGCTGGAAAATCTTGATGTAAGCAGAAACCAAAAAGAATTGGCTAAGAATTGACTTGAATGAGGAGAGCTAAGAAGCTAGAAATAAAAAAAAAAAATGGGCCTCTGGCATCAAGAAGTTGACACTATGCAGACTGGGATTAGTCCAAATAGCAAAAATTAAGCAAGTTTCCTAGCAATGACAAAAACGAGACAACAGTCTCAGAAAAAGAGGCTATCCTAAGGAGATGACAGTCAGTCTAAAAAATAAGCGACTGAAAAGTGTTTCTCAAAAATGGAGACTATGGCCTTGCTTGAGCAAGACAATGACAAAGATGAACTTTAGCTAAAAAAGACTGGAAGTTTAGTTAAGAGGCAAAAAATCCCAAACCAGAACAAAACAAGCTCCAACCCCTCACCAAAACTAAAAAGCAAACCCCATCACTAAATCTGTGGGAATATGTTTTATATCAGTATATGAAGACAATGTAACTCAGGCATCTACATGTAATACCTGCAGAAGAAAGAAGTCCTTGAAGAGTGAAAAGGAAGACAGAAACAAAAAACAAAATAAAATAAAATTTAAAAAAGCACCAAAACAAGACAAAAAAAGTGTTGCCCTAATAAAGTATCCAAAAAAAGGGACAATATTGCATGTGTAATCTAGCAACCATCTGACTGAAGTTCTAGGTGAAAGGATCTGGATGAAGGATGTTTATTGGAGCAGCAAATCAATTTCTGTAAAAACTAAATAGCTGTCCAGCAAATCTTCTGTCCAAGGTCAAGTGCAATAAGATCAATTGGAAGTAAACATCTGCTAAGTAATTTTAAAAAAACAAAAGAAAAACCCCAAAACAACAGACAGAAAAACCCTCAAAGAAATAATCCTAAACCCACTTGCCTCCACACAAATTGTTCAGAGACCATGATACCATGTATGAGAATCTCATTTGTTTCTTTGGGTTTGGTGGGTTGGTTTGTTTTTGACCAGTAGCCCCAGGAGGCTGCACAGCAACTGGTACTGACAGCAGGAATTATTTATTCTGAAGTAAACTCAGAGCACAGCTCCCAGCAGCTGGGGCACGGTGGATGACAGGCACTGCTAGCACACCCAGCAAGCCACCAGTGGGGGTTCTCCCTGGCCACCAGGCAGAGGCCAAGAGCCACCATGTGCACAGTGAATCAACATGCTGCAGGTGAGGTGATTTCTGCAGCACATACCAGCTCCAGGCACTGCTGGAAACTCATGGAAAAAAAAGAGGAGGGAGCTGAAGGTGTATCTCAATCAAAGAGGACTGAAGCCTGACTACTTGTGGTTACTGAATACAAGTTAGGTCTCCATCTAAAGCTATCAAACCACTAGTCAAAATCAGCAATGAAGCCACATAAACAGCTTAATGGGATAAAAACACAGCACCTCAAAGGCTCCTACATTAATTTCTGAACCATGTGTACAAGTTAACCAGCTTAGTTCACCCTGACCCCCAAAGCATTTCAATACAAAAGCTGGGTTTTCATAAAGGGTTTGAGGATGCTTTGTGTAAGTAGCATTGACACTTGATCTGAAAGAACAATTTTGCTGAAAAACTTTTCTTCAATAAATCAAAAGCCATGAAATCTTTCACAAGAAAAAGTAGGAAATAGCAAGGTAGGATGTACTTCTATACAGTTACAAGTTTGGTATTGTCCATGAAAGTATGTATTTATTTCAGTTTTCACTCTCAGTCAACATTCTGCCTCAAGCAATTGAAACAAGTGTAAAAGACTGAGGCAGAAGTTTTCTTAAATTTACTTCAAAGGAAAACGTATCTCCTTAGGTTTAGGCATATAAAAAGAATGAAATCAAGCAGTTATATCATAAGTCTGATTAACATTTCCAGAAAATTGAACTTTTAGCATGACAGGGTTTTCTCAAGATTAAAAGTATGAAATATGTTTTAAACTTGCATGAATAAACATTAAATCACTCCAGCAGATATAACTGTATGCTTCTTCTACGTGGACATAATTCTCCATAATCTCTTGACTCAAAATAAAAATTAAAACCATGACACACTCTATTAATCCATCTTACCTTACAGCATCTGTATCAAATTGTAAGTTTGGTTTATCAATCAATCCCAATGAATACAACTGGTAGGCCAAAGCACATTTCCCCACCATAAACTGGGCTGTGTTAGTGCGATCTAAACAGTCCACACAGTTGGTTCGGAGGACTCCAGTCTGGTAAAGCAATCCAAATAAAAGATTTATATTAATCAACAAATTGCTACACTCATGATTATTACTTTTTTACTACTAACTATTTTCAAATCTCAAATTATGTCTTAACAGAAATTTGAGGAAAGACATTTCTAAGAAAAATTCTAAAGCAATTAATCTCTAGCAAGCTATATCAGAGTGCTGTCATACCTATTTTCAAAATATTCTTGTTTTTATCATCACACCAACTGGATGTTCCTTCAACTCACAAACAGCCCTGAAGAAGTCACAATTTGGATGTGACTCACAAGATGTCTAGTCAGAGATGAACTGTGATCTGAATGCTTACATGTATGTCACTGGTGACTCTCAAATTATTAAAGATAAAATAACCACTTTCCTACTATGTAAGACTAACATAAAATATCTAACTAGAGTTATTTTTTTTTTTTTTAAGAGATCAAATTCTATCTGCTCTGCTGTTTACCCTCAACAAACACATGCCAGTGATCACTAGTACAGGAATGTTCACATGCTCTCTAACTTACAAGAAATACAAAATTATGGATGGCAAGTCAAAGTAACTAATGCTTCTTAAGAACATGCCCTGTGTTGAGGGTATATAGCAATAACGTTCAGGTATTAATTTGATACTGTATGGTTTGCAGTTTAGCCAGTACTTTTCCAGCTTTAAAGGAAGACATGTTTCTAGTGTTATTTTCTTTTAGTGCTGGCAACTGTAACAATGTACAGAATATTCAGCACTGGTGAAAATTTCAGTTACCCATGTTCATGTGCATGAAGATGTTACCAGGGTTAAGTATGTACTTATTCCTCACTTCTTCTGTGTAACATTTTATGACCCAGTTTGCCAAAATGCTGCTGGTTCAACTTTCACTGCACCGGTAACATTACAGACCAAACAGTTATAGAAACTAATTTAAAATACAAGCATTTCTCAGACTAAGTCCAGCAAAGATACAATTCCAACACTATAAGGTTTTGGGGTACCATGCAAGAATATAAGGCACTCATTCCCAATTGTATTTCTAGGAAGCACAGCCATAATAATGTGTACTATAAATATTAATTTAAGAGCAGTCTGTGAGTCACCACACAGATATTTAAGTGAAATGATTCATTGTTCTTTGGGAGTGCTGACCTACACAACTAAAAAAGTATATTTTAGTACCTGCAAGCGACCAGTGGAAACAACACAACCTCCCAGTTCATTCCACCTGAAAAAGAAACAAAACAGAATGACTTTCAAATTATTTCATAAAATAACAGATTTTATTATGCATTGCTCTACTCAGCGATAAATAATTACTTCTGGATTTCCAGGTATTGAGGGACTTCATCTGCAGCAAATACAGTTTCTATTTTTAAAAAAAGTTATACATTTTGTATTTATGAAACTGTGCAATCCGCTAGTTAACCACAGACTCAGTAAGATTTAGATGACAATTATTCTATTAGTATGCCTCAAAAGAAGCCACCTAGCAATTTCCAAATTAGTAAGTCTTAAAATAAGAAATTAACTCTTGAACATAGAAATTCCAAACAGCTTCCTAAGGAATAGGTGCTATTCATTATGCATCAAATAAATTATAGGTGTACTTTTCATCTGGACGCAAGATACTGCAGTAGGAATCAGGTCGATTTACAAAAAATCCAGTCTTCTTTACTACACTTTCTGCAATCACATTCAGTCTGTCAAGGACATTGCAAAGTTTGCTGAGGAGGGAAAAAAAAAAAAAAGAGACAGTCAAGATACATTAATACAAAAAATTTGAAAAAAAATATGAAAAGCTTTTCCATAACAAAAATTATTTTAAAACAGGCCCATATCACAGCTTTATGCATCCAGAAGTAATTATGTCTATAGTTTTCTTAGATTTTACAGATTTTTACAGGAGAGACTGACTGTTGAGCAACCTGAGCAAATCTGAGCAATTTTGCTTCTTTTTGATAAAAAATATTACATAAACTAGAAGCAAAAGACATAAAAAAACCCATAAAACTTGAGTTTTACATCACGCTGGTTTTTCTCTATCAAACTTTCTGTGATTCAAAAATATGAATAAGGCAGAAATGGATGTATGATTATGCTGAACCATATTCCCTTGTTTTTTTTGCAAGTTGCTGTTTTGTTCAGTAACATTTGTTTCCATATGTGTATTGCAGCTACAAACACGAGTACAGAAAAGACTTTTTCTACCTTTTAGTGTATTTGGCCATATCCCAGGGTATATATATAATTGCATGCTCTGGGGGTAAGAACTGGTTGAGATATGTCACAGCAGCAACAAGTTCTTCACTGAGAATCCTTTCATGCTTTCTTTTTTCACGTTCCTTTAGCAAAAAGAAAAGGAATTTAACATAACAATTTACGTTAATGTATTTATTTAAACGTATATAACCCATACACACATACACGTATGCATATATAATGGAAATCAAAAGTGGAAGCTGTAACAGCAGCAGGCAGTTCTTCATAAACAGTACAATTAAGTTAAGAACACAAAAGATAGAAAAATCTGAACATTCTAGGTTTTTAACAATTGATTTGTATTAGTAGTAAAAAGTCACCTGTTTCAACTGTGCATAATCACTGGCTGAAAAATGGAATGCTGTAAGTGTAAAGAAGAACACAGAGAAATAAAAGTGGCAATGTAGATGAAATGAAGAACCATAAAAGAGAAGCAAAAACACAGGCAGAAATGTGTTCCACACATTCAGTTGTGGAATAGGAGAACAAGGAGAAATTCCTCTCCATTTCTGGCAAGAGATGGGAAAAAGCAGCTCCCATCTTCCAGTCTTGCAATAATTTTTGAAAAATAGAATTGTGTTTCCATTGCCTAAATATAACATATGTTTTCACAGAACTCCAGAATGGTTTGGATTAGAAGAGACTTTAAGGTCATCTAGTTCTAACCTTGCTTTGAATGGAAACATACTATTTCAGTAGATTTTAGTGCTAAATTAAATTTAGTGTTAAATTTATATGGACCTAGATCTAATGGGTAGAAAAAATTTGAAGAGAACAGTGGCAGGTTTCTGTAAGAAATCTCTAAATATGGGAAATTTTGTTTTTGAAGGGCTATAGTGAGAGCAGATTTATGTACTATGTCCTGTAGGATGAGATTTATGAAGAAAATATTCCACTTGTAAGCTAATATTAGTTTTAGAACATAACCAAAACTACACAGTGACTTTACAGAAAGAAGCATAATATTAAAAATCGAACACAGAACATATTCAAAATATTGTACCTTCACAAGATTCAAGATAATAATGGGAGAGCCAAATCTCTGAAGCATTTGATCAAAGTGAAGAGCAGCAACGTGTGCATAAGGATCTGCTTGGTCCACTGAAACAAAGATGAATTGGAGATGATAGTTACAATTTTCCCTTAATAGTACTCTTCACAAAAGATGCATTAATTCTCTGGTAGTAATGACACAATCAAATACTTTTCCCTCTTTTCATGCAAAAGCTGTTAAAAAGTATTCCCTTTGCCAAATTGCAGGAAACTTCTTAAATTTTCATGAAATGCTTATAGAGACCAATTATTCTGGCCCCATTAATCTCAGCCCAGACATTTTCCACCATTTTCAACAGGTTTAATATTTTATCCACAATACTAAGATAAATATAGCTAACTTTGCACACAAAGTAATATAAAGAAAGCTCACATCTTCAAACAGAAACTTTTCCTGTTTAATTTCTGAATGTGAAGTCTAAGATGGAGATTTTTTTCTTGATTTTTTACTTCAAATTATGGCTTCACAAAGCACAAGTGAACAGACAATTTGTTCATTTCTGCAAATTCAGTTTTCACTTATTCTCTCAGATGTTCCTTTAGGCCAAAGCATTAGCCATAATCTATCACAAAGAATAATTTGTACACACGTGTTATGGGTGGCTTAGGCATCATAGTTGAAATATCTTGAGACCAGTACAGAGGGACAGACCCTCGAACCTGAACATAGGAAGAATAACTCCCCGCAGAAAATGACATAACTGAAGCATCATAAAGTATTTGTTCAGTTTCCACTTCATTAGCAACATCTCCCTAAACCAAACAGAAATACACATATGATGTAGACACAACATTCAAAGCTGCATGCAGTACAGAGAACTGATCATTAAAAACAGAGCACAATTAAACTGTGAGACACTTAATCACAGTAGCAAGAACAACACTGAAGCTTAAATTCCCATTTTTCCCTAATGTATATTATATTATATATATATAATATATAATATTAATATATAATAATATATAATGTATATTACCATATTTTTATTTTTTCCCTCAGTTTGGGAAATAACATTATCTCTAAGTGTAAAAATCTGAAACAAATGCCTATATAGAAATATTAAATTTATTATTTTAGGAACAACTTTATTATGCCAATGAAAAATATAATGATACCCACTATAACATCATCCAATAGCATAAGTTACAGTCAAAGCCTTAACAATCCTCTAAACCATTTCAGCTCTTCAGTCAGTCAAGTTCAAGCTTTCATACTGGAGAGGAGCAGGAGGAAACAACCCCTAAAATCATATTTGATTTACCTCACAGTTTGCTCCTCGTTTTAGAAAACGTGTTCCAGCAAATTTGCTTGATCTTCTGGCTATCAGAGTGACATATATAGGGCGGCCATATATTAACAATTCTTGAAAGAGAAGTTAAGGTTTACATGTCACATGTAACTTTTTGTTCACTTACTTTATGCATGCAAAAATAAGTTCTAACAAAACTGTATGAAATCGATATATCTGATTTACTAAAATCACCTTAACAGTGATGAGTATCACTTCCAAACCTATTTTGCATCTGGAAGAGAATATTGCCCTTTCCAACTATCTGTTTTAAGAACTTTGAAAAGTGAATCTACACTGCAATACATCACCCACTTTTCAGAATCTACAGAAGACAAGCATCATTTCTCTTTCATGAAATTACAATGAAGGTGAAATAGATCCAAAAGATACGCCTAGCACTGCAAATATTGCTTTTGTGAATGCTGGGATTAAAACTTCAGAGCTCCATTTTCAGATGAAGTATATTAGTCACCCTCTAATTATTTGTTTGGAAAAATAGACAAATTTGCAACCACTTAAGTAACAACTGAAAGCCAGAGACAAACAGGCTATGGATGCAGTGGTGGCTTTTTTAAAGTCTTTTTCCATTTTACTAAAAACAAGCAGAAACAGAGCCTAGTGTGACTATTGCTGCTTCCTCAGTGTGAGGCACAAGAAAGAGTTAAGAAGACATTTGCTCACACACTAAGCAGCCGCAGACATAATGCTGGTGGTCAGATCCAGCTTTGATTAAGGAAGACCACAAATGAAATAGTGGTATATAAAAACAAATCTAGTTTTTTATCTGGGGACTAAGCCAATGACTAACAGTCTTACAATCATAAAAAAGCAAAATTAAATTTTTCAGGCACCACTAATGTTAACTTCTTAATTGTATTTGCTTCCCCAGAAATCTAAAGCTAACACGATAATATTGGTGAATAATACACTAAATTCTTAACATATGACATTTCTTTGGATTGTGGTATGTGTTTGGCCATTTGCTTCTCCTGCTATAATGTAAATAGACCTGTTTAATCATTTAAAATAGTATATAGTCAAAAAAGGGGCTTTCACATGTCCTAGTGCTCTTCACACAACAGGGCTGAAGTTCTGTCATTGCCTTCAACAGAAAGACAGTAAATACAATAATTTCTGCAAATCTCAGTTACTGAAAAATATTTTAGAGACAATTTTAGAGAGGGGAATTTCTATGGCAATGTCATGGTTTAAACACAGCTGAAAACATATCTGTCAGCAATTCAGTTCTGCTTAGCTTTTCTCCCTTTTTTCAAATATCTGTGAAAAAATACAGCTGATCCTAAAAATCCTCTCAAGTTCTTTACTACTAAACCCCATTCTAATAAACAGAGCCTCACTGAAAATCAAGTCTACCTGTGTTAGGGCCCTCTTACAATATTTCTTACTTAGAAAGTAATGAAAATAAAAGCCAAACAAGAAGTATAAAACTGAATGGTATTTAAAATGACAAAGAAACAATTCAATGTTCAAACTGTGTTTTTTTCAAAATTGATAAACCAAAGTTCTTTACAACATTAGAAGGATACTTGATTGTCCACAGAATCCATGAATAATATATAGCAGCCAATCACGATGAACAGCAGTTCTTACTGCTTCCAGAAGCTTGGCATTCCACACGTACTTTTCATAAGGCTTACTGCAAATCCCAAATACACCTAGGAGGTTGTTAAAATGAAAACACATTACCAATTATGAAAGAAGCTCACCTGCTTTAAAATCCAAGACATTGGATCTTTGTTTTGACTTTTCCCTTGACTGCAACTCAAGTAATTTACTCGCATCCTTGAATCCTTTGCCGAACACAGATAATTTCGGCACATGCTGAAGTCCAGTGTTTATGAGGATTTGCAGTTTTTTTATAGTTGCCAGTCACTGTTGTGATTGAGTGCCTTCATGTAGAAGTTATCCATGTAAAAGAGAACTGTACATAGTAGCATTGAGGGATTTGATAACCAGGGAAATAAAGTAGTGAATTCCAGCTAAGGCAAAAATGCTCTTACAGGAGGACTTCATAAGCTTCTCGATTCTGGTCACCTCTAATTACTTAGGTTCTGGAAGATCATGTACACCAGTCCTTTTTCACACAATTCAAAACAGTTTTCCTAATTTGCACTAAGAAGCACAGCTATTGTAGACCTGAAGAATAAAGATCTGTTTCTGATCTATCTGAAATCAGTCTTTTTCTGTTTCAAATATCAGGACCAAGATGACAACTGTCATTGAAAGGTGATAGTGGGAATTGAATGAATCTGAAACTTAGAAGAAAGAGGACAAGAATTCAATTTCCTATATTTTTTCACACTTTTTTCAAATGAAGATTCTGACATGACAAATTCTACTGCAACAGTATGAATGTCAATTATAGCAGATAACTACAGCAGTCAAACGTTCCACTGGAGGAAAAAGGAGTTCTTACAGGCTACAGGTGAAAATGCAGCTGTTGAACAAACTATTGCAACCTAGACCCAACTTAAGCCCAGGGAAAACTGATGTAAACCAAAATACTTTCCTGAAGGAATTTAGACAGTCAGCAGAAGCTGGTCACAAGCACTTAGCCAGCAATTTTCCCTCTTTCTTACTACTAGCACCACTACTTAGGTGAGAATTAATTCTTAAATGACAGGTGGCTATTTGTTACACATATTCTGTGAATAGATAGGTGACTAGCACATAGTGCTGATGGGGTCAAGGTTAGGGCATCTTCATTTCCTACTGTTTTTACAAAGACATAGAAGAGATGGTGCCCTTGTAAGGATTCCTGATGGATCCTCCAGATTAGAGTCTTTGCAGAAGAGAAATTATTACTCTCTTCATTCCTTATGGTCCTTTCTGATAGTGTATTATTTGATAACCAGTTGCTGATATCTTGAGATATGTGACCATATTATTAATATATTTTGCTTGGGGGCATGGGGGTTTCATTTAACAGAATAAAATCTAATATTAAGAATTTCAGGAAAAACTTTCTCTGTGTGTTTGTGTGCACAAAGAAAAAGGGAGAGAAGATAGTTTTTCTCTCTGGCTGCTCATCTTTATACTCTTATGAATATGTTAGATCCAAACCGAAGGCTGAATTTTCCAACCAAAATAAGTAATTTTTCTTACATTTCTTGACAGGGGTTATTACTACAGTAAGATGATGTTAACCTCATACAGTTCCTCTGTTGTCAGTATTCTCCAATATAAAACAAAAAAAAGGTATTAATACTTAATCACTTATTGCTTCCCACTCTCCTTATAACTCATTCCTGTTGGGAGACTCAGAAGTCAGTTGAGTAATCAATTGCTGAAAAATGTCAGCATGCCCAGTCATCTTCCCCAGTTGCAGCGTAACTTAAAACAATGACTACACACTTCTAGAAATCGCATTGCTCAAACAGAAGTGTATTTGGCACTTCAAAGAATCTTTTATTAACTCACAATTGTTAGGACACTACTGACCAAGAGCAGAAGACATGAATGTTTCTCAAAAGTAAACCTAAGTGGAACATATTTTAAATGCACTCAGGACCAAAATCATTGGTTTAATTAGATGTGATTGCTTACCCCTTCCCCCCTGTGTTGAAAGTCCTTCATCTTCAAATATATCAAAACTCTCTTGTCGGGTTTGGGTTGTTTCAGTTTTTAATGTCTCAAGTGGCATTCTCAGGACAGTAAGATTATACTGAAGGGAGTGAGATAGATCATAGCTGTAACTGATAGACAGTTAATATTTATTAATAATTATTGTAGATGCAGAAGAATTTTCTGAAAGCCCTTACTTTCCATCTCTACTTATATTTAACACAGTACTGTTTTATAGAAAAGACTTCTGAACAAGATATACAGATTCTAATTCTATAATGGCAAATGATACAAATGATTTCCAAAAGAAGCTTTACAAACATAGAAACTGTTTACAGGTTACAAAGACTGAAAATGTGTTTATATTCTTCTTTTAACTGAAAACTAAACATATCTTTTTAACAAAGCATATCAAGAAACTTAATTCACCATGTCCCAAGAAGCATTCCACAAGTTCTAAAAAAGCTATTCCATCAGAAATATCTACATGCATTGACAACCTCATTTTTCTTAGATTTGAGTGCTGCTACTTTCTAACTGCTATCTGAACTCAAAACAGCTAAAAAACTGTTCCACAAAAATGTTATCTGTCCCCAGATATATCATTGCAGCACAGATGAATATTCAGGCAGTGTCTACCAAATAAAGAAAAGGGGCTTTTTTTGTTAGTTCCCTAATAGTTGCAAATTTTCCACCTCATGTCTCTTTTACTAAAACTCTATACTAATTTCTAAAAAAATATTCAAACATTAGACATTTAGATTTATCACTAATGATAATAAAGTGTAACCCATGCATCCACATATTTCCATAATAATGTCCTGACCCATCTGTTAGGGAAAAAAAGAGTCTGTAGCATACTCTGTTTGCATATTATAGAACCTTTAAACATGTTCAGGCTGTTTCCCCACTCTCCTCTTAGACCAAATATTATCTTATAATTGATTTCTAATTTTCTTCAGGATTTATATAAAAATCATGCAGAAAAATGTGCTATGTTTTCAGCCAAAAACAATTTAAATGAAGCTGATAAATTGAAAAGATTCTAAACAATAAGAAAGAATATTAGTATCATCCTATGCTTCTCCTTTTGAAAGTGAAAATCAGGCTAAATATGCAGTTAAAACACAGAGCACAAATACATTTTATGAAAACAATTCTTCTAATGAAAAATAAAACATAAACAGTAAATTATCTGCCAGTAGGAAAGTTTTCATTTATGCCACACAGGATTTGTGACAAAAACATACTTTTGTATAAGTCATTCACCCATTTTTTTTCTGTATAAGAAGTTTTAAACATTTAGTTTATCTTAATTCTACAGTTTCAGCTTGGAGACAAGCAATCTTTGGGAAAACCTCCCTATGGCCTTCCAGTACTTTAAGGGGGTTACAAAAAAGGAGGAACAGCAACTATTTACATGGGCAGATTAGATGGGTGATTAGACAAGGGGGGGATGGTTTTAAACTAAAACTGGAGAGATTTAGGAGGAAATTCTACAGTGAGTGTGCAGTAGGGTTTGAACTGGATGTCAGGAACTGTAAGGTCCCTTCCAGCCCAAATCATTCTATGATTCATTTTATGATGAATGTGTTTATTAGAGTCACCTAAGAATCTTCCCCTTCTATGTACAACCATGGAAACTGCACAGATTTGTCATCTCCAAGCAAAGGAGGTAGTAGGGGAAAGTTGTATAATATCAGGGCTGGGAAACAATGCAGGGAAGAAAAACTCAGGTTTTATACTGCAAAAAATCTTTCACATGCCAAAGCATGAAACACACATAAAACTTGAGAAGGTTTTATCCTTACAGATCCAGCTGTGAGAAAAAGCCTTCATTTTGCAAGAGGAAGCATCTCCTAGACTGACACACCTTTTGGTAATTGCAAGAGGGATTTTTTTGTTTACTCATTTTTTAAAGTCTTCAAGTCTTCTAACTGCTGCAGTCAGGTTTATCACCACACTGCTCCCATTTTTGTGCTGTCCCAAAAATCTCACTTAATAGTAGCTGAGACACAGAAACTTGTCTTAAGTATGACATTCATGAAACAATAAACAAAAGAACTGCAATGCCTAGAAAGCCCTATGAAAGACATACACAGGGTGTATTGTAAATGAGGACCTATTTCACTACCTTTGTCCCTGAATCAAGGCAAAGCTTTATTTATGGAAAATGAGAACAATAAAGAATAAATAACAAGACAAGAAACCCCCCTGAAACAAAATACTTTTCCAAAGAGAGAACTTCTGCATAATCTGGAAGGGCTGAACAGTCTGTGGAAGAAGTGGCTTCAGTATTTATTTTTTTCCATGCCATTAATAGTTCTATGTTTTTTAACTTAATGGAGACTAAATTCCTAGCCAACTGATTAAAGGAGAAAGCAGGTTCAAAACACACAGATGAAAATGGACAAGCAGCATGATCGTGTGTCTTATTTCTCCAGAATATCAACCTAAAAGTCTTGGGTATCAAAAACAAAACCTATAATCTTCTAGCAAGTATAAGTGCACATTTTTTTTAAAGGAACAGTAACTAATACCTACCTAAAATAGAAGTTGCTAGAAAGGTCCACATTTTGAAAGATTCTCAGATACCTAGCAAAATAATTCAAGTTGTAGGAAAAATTATTATTTTACCACACAGAGCATAACTCATTCAGAAGATCACAGAAAATAAACTACATATAATATTGATTCTTGCCTTACATTCGCTTCCTATCTTACTGTAATTGTTTTGACAGATAATTACACTAGAATGTCAGCATATGGATTAAATAAATCAAATATAATTTTTTCTAAAAAGAAGAACTAATGTCTAGTCATATGCATACTCTCTTTAGGCAGTTGTAAAATTGTGGTTCTATTTTCCACTTATACACATCAAATTTTCCAGGACTTGAACACGAAAACTCTCAAAAATACTATAAATAAATATTTCTTTTCAGTTATCCATAAATAAATGAACAAGAAAAGAAATATCTAGTAAAATCTGTCATAGCCTTGCAAATTCCCAGAAGAAACCATTACATTTTCTATGAATAATGAAATGGCTGACACCATAAATATATAGGTTAGATAACATGGTCTACTGTACACTAAGAGGAGAGACTGAGGTCTGTGACCAATCCCACATTAAAGTGGATGTTTTTTAATATTTACTACTGGCTTCATTCATTACCTGACATCAATTTATCATAAACCATCACTTTTTCACTATTCACACTTAGTACAGACTGAAAAGCAGTTTATGGATACCATATTGATAGCATAGAAGCAAAGTTACCCTACACTAATAAAAACATAAAGGCTCAAATTTCTCTTTTCATAAAAAAGTCCTTGAAAAGAAAGGAGCAGTAAAACTTACCAGTGAATCTTTTCACCATCCTTTACAACTGCAACATTCACGAGATTCTGACAGCACAGAATCATTTAATAATCTATTCAGCACTTTTTGAAGGGCACAAAAGGTCTCTTCAGGTGAGATTAAATCATGCAAGAGCTACTAAATAAAGAATAGTGCCCCAAGTTGTACAAATCAGTATTAGCATTAAATTGCCTTTGCAGGAACAATGTTTGTATTTGACACTTCTTGGTGCAGATTTGCTGAACTTAGCTGTGACATAGATGTGGACAATAAACTCTAGAAGATTGTGACAGTTGTATTTACTCTCCAGATCAGAGGCCACAGAATTTGTAGCCTATTTTCCATCCAACAAAATAAAATGGATTAAATGACATACTAATACAAAAAAACCATGACAGAAATTTCCAGTTGCAGTTCAACATTGTTTAGAAAATATTCAAAAAGTACACACTGATTACCAGCATTATTTACCTGGCCTCATCAGGATGACTAACTCTTACAGAGTCATTTGGAATGTAGATCATATTTGTATCCTCTATTTTATATATTGCATGACCTCCAATATCTGCAGTCTTAAAATTCACTCCCATTAATCAATGAAATACATAGTTTTTACTTATTTCCCCTCTCACTGTGGGTTTTTTTAATACTAGGTAGCAGAGTTAGGACACTGAAAATCTGGACTATGTTTCTGTCTGCTTAACATGCTTGTACTTGTTTTTGATACGGCTCTCATTGTTCAGAGTGAGGCATACTCTATTTACTTCAGACACCAAAATTGTTAATTTTCCAGGGTAAGGAAAAATCCCAGGCTCCAATTTTCTTTCAGGTTCATGTATTCTCTGGGGGGGAAGGACACAGAACAGCAAAAGGACTTGTGGGTAAAACACCACCTTTGTGCTCTTTCTCCTTAACAACAGGGATCTGAATTCCTTGACTAGAGCAGCATCTCCCCCAAATCAGCCATTCAGAGTATCAGTGGCACTCCTTTTTTTCCTTCAACACTTGACTCTGCTGAAATGCAGAAGGCTAAGAAGGCAGAATAGGCAGTGTCTGGTTTTATTGCCCATAAATTGACGGCTTCTGAAGCCTCCACTCTTATTCTCTGCAGGGCATAGCCCTGCTTCTTCATGGAGTGCCTTCTTTGAATACCTCAATTATAAATCATCAGGAAAAAGTGTAACAAATCTTTAAATACAACACAAATGTAGAAATTCAAATGAAAAATAGAAATCTATAACCACCCCTGAACTCAAATGTGTTACTAATACAGTAGAGTACAGCAGTAATATGCCTTAATAAGTAATAAATTACATTAATTAGCTATTTTAGGTGGCTGCTCTGATAGGTTACTGTGAGCTTGAAACTCACTCACTACTGCACTATCAGCAAATAAATTAATTTGAGGAGGGAGGTGATGATGATGTTGATACATATGGACCCTCACAACTCATAGTTTTACTTGGATTTATACTCAGTTCATTTTGCTTTGCATAACAAGAAGGATGAGGAGAGCACACATTTTCCTCCCTGTCACTGCTGGAGGCTGCAACGTGATTGAATGAAATGCAATCTTTTCTTCCAGCTTATTAGCCCCCCCTTGGAAAAATGCTCTCACCTGCACAAAGACAGGAAGCCCTGCTGACAATACGAAACAAACCTTCCATTTGAAGCAGACTATTGAATTTCAGTTGTTAAATAGTAGTCACAGTTCTTCCTGTATCCTCCAGGTACTAAAATCACTTATGTGAACAGCCTCTGTCCTTTGAATTTCACCAAACATTATACCAAAGTCTGATAAGGAACTGAGCCTTTCTCCTTGGCCTGATTCCCTCCCTTTAACCTTTAAAAGCAATTTCTACTTTTAAACACTACACAGTAAACCAGAGCCCAGCCTATCAGCACCCCCATTCTGACCACACTGAATTTACAGAATCTGGTTAATGAAATAACTAGAAGACAGAATAAAGCTATTCTTTACAATTTTATAAAAAATAGCCCTGTTCTTCTGACCTGAGCCAGAAGGCAGAAATAAACAACCAATTTCATTCCCTCAAATTACATGTTTATACAGATATGGTCTGAATCATGTAATTTGGAAGTATATAATCTGATAGTCTGTTACTTCTAGAGTTGTCTAGAAATACATATACCATATCTGTTAACCACTGCATTTGTGCAGCTACAGAATAGAAACTCTTCTGCTATGAACAGTACATATAAACAGTCATACAAATGGGATGCAAAATTTTAATTGATTTCAACCAAATATTTATCACATATTTAGACAGTGATCACTGATGGCTTGTGCAAAAAAAACCCCCAATGCTGCAAGGCTATTAGAAGCTCCTTTAGGTTTACCCATATTATGAATACTCTTAAATCAGTAAGAGACATAATCACTATCTGAGGAATTTCTGAAAAGCTGGATGCATAAAATGCTTCACAGGCAAAAAGAATGAACAAGAAAGTCTTCTTAATTTGCCACTTTGGATTAGAATAGAATTTTATTATGTTTTGATTGTTATGCAAAATTCAGGAGCATCCTTTAAAGTAATTGCATTCTCTACCCTCTCTGCAGCTTTGGCTTTAGATGTCCAGGTGTATATTGACTCTAATAAACCACAAAGTATTCTTGAGAGCTATCACAGCACACATTAACATTTACTTTAGATACACGAGCCATCAATATACTGACTTCAGTATTAGATAGTAGGCAGGAAAGAACTGACTTTCAGATAAAGTTAGAAGCTATTAAATCCTTGAAGCAATGCTTGAGGATTATGGACAGCTGAGCAGCATTTTAGAATTCAGCTGACATACCAGTCAGTTATACTTGTTCAAACATGAAAAAGAAATCTTTAAATATGTCACTGTAAAAAGTTAACCAAAAAGAAAAGTCATCTTCCTGAACAGTGCCTGATAAAGAAATATAGCCTAATAAAGAATGTTAATTTTCTTTTTAAAAAGCATTCTGTGAGCTCTGGAATTCAGAAGCCAGGTTTCACATGATTTGTATTCCAAGATCAGCTGAGTTTGGCACGATCTTCACCCAAGTTTCTAGAGTCTGGCTATTTCGTAGATCTGTCCCTTAGTGACAAAGAAAAGACTGGTTACAGCACAACTTTCACCCCTGTACTGACCACCTGTTTTCAAAAAATACACAGAAACTTAGTTATCTTTGAGCATGACAAATTTCTAAATCCTCTTTAGTTTTATACATAAATAAAATCAGGGGGTGACTGAAAGATATGCAGCATGGCACAATAAGATTCACCTCCTAGAAAAACAAAAGATTTTATAAAATCTACTAAAACACTTACCTACTATACCAAAAGCAGAGACAGCTCGAGATAACCCAGAAGAACCCTTCTGTCCCATCTTTGTTCTGTTTCCCAGGTCTAAGCGACCAAGAAGTTCCCTCACCTCTTGTTGTGTATAAACATGCTTTAAAATAAAGAGTCACAGAAGTTATTGTTTGGTAGTTAAATGTTATTTCATGTCAGAGAATAGCAGAATTTGCTTAATCTCTGAAATATACAATAAACCAAAGGCCTGCTCTACATTCAATTTCAGTGCTACCAACAAGTAACCAGCATTATTTGAAACAACTGAGAAAAAACCCCAGCAGCTAAATACAGAGGCACTTACCTTATCATCAATTATAACCAAATCCTTTGGTTCAGTGCGATCTATTTTCAAAACACGGTATTTGGTTTCTGCAGGATTACTTCCAACTAGAAAATACCGCTACATAAAAGAAAACCAACAAAATAAGTCAGAATATTATATAAGATCAATCAACCAAAACCCAGTGTAACATAAGACATCAGCAATGCCATTTACATATTGTCTAGACCAGATCCATTCCTCAACAGCAAATATGCAATATTCCATATGGACTGTTAATAAACTGTTTTAGACAAATATATCTTAGGTAGATATATTTGTACACAATCAACCTCTACAACTTAAAAGACCCCTTTTTCTCCTTTGTGCAAGGAGAAAAAAAAATTAAAATCAAAGGTTAAAACCTGTTTAGAGAAGATAAACTGTAACTTACACCAGGTACTGTCCAACCACACCCTACCCCAGCCATTACTGTCTTTTCATTTGCTTTGTAAAACTTAGCAGAAACTTACGCATGAGGTTTTAACTTTTCATGATCTAAAATGTCTGTTGCTATATTGTACTCCTTTGCTATTTCTGCCAACTAGTCTTTCCTGATCCATACTAAACACTGCAAAATTTTAAGTACTTCAGTACTGCAAGTTTTCTTCTACTTTTATGTATATTTGCTATGATAGTCTTCTCAACAATGTTCTTCCACAAAACCGAAATTTTCTGGTTAACAATGCTACTGTTTAAAAAACTATTAGCTTTACTTCACATTTAAAATATGAAAGAATGACCACAGATAAACATATAGGATGTCAATTTTTCATGTAAGGAGATCAAACTAGATTAATTTCTACATTTAGAGGAATTAACAGTAAGCACAGGTTGCAGGACTGACTTGCTAAAAGTAGCTCTCATTTTTTCTAATTCATTTAATCAGTGTGGTGCTAGCACAGCAAGATGGAACTCATTAATAACGCTCAGCCTAGTAGGAAAGCATGGCAAATTCATGTGGATCTATGCAATCAGCTCTTAACTCTAAGAGTCACATGGATTTAAGATGTGGGAAAGGAAATCAATAATCATATTCATATAAACCTCACAATTTCATAATTTATACCTATTAGATGTTAAGAAACATCTTTACTCTTAAAATATTTAAGGCAAAAGAAGAACTTGAAGCCCTCTTCAGCTTCCTTGAATTCACAAAAGACAATAGATGTTCAGTAAGCTCTAAATAGGAAAATAAAATACCGAACTTCAAAATCCACAAAAGCAAACACCACCAACTTCTGGCTCCACCTTGTACACTGCTGTTACTGTGCTGAGTGGTAAGTTCTGATGTTTACTTCCAAATAACAGAAAGAAGGCCCTTGAAATTCATATGTCATTGCAACACTCCCTCACTGAAACCTTTGAGGCAGCACTTTGGCACACGAAAGAAACACCAAGCCACCAAGACAGACACTTGCTTTGACCATGCCATTATCCTATCTTTTTCTCATGCAGCAAAAGTGAATGGGCAGAGGGAAATATACTCATTTGTAATACTCAGATGATAAGTTAGTATGCATTTCAAGAGTACAGCTTCTTTATTTGTAGAAAACTGTTAGTTAATTAAAGCTAAATAATTTTACGTATTCCATAATACTGCAGTACGGCTCAGTGATGTCCCACTATGCCCAGCTCACTAAATGAGTGCAATTTCTTCCCAAAGTGATACCTACAGTTACCAAGTAATACTAAATAAAAATAGAAGAGCACAACTCTAAGATGCTTGTACTAATGCCAGTTTGGACCATAGCGCACATTTAGAATTGGAACACAGAGGGAAGAGAGAGAGAGAGAGAGAGAGAGAAAGAAATGGATATAAAGTTGCAAATGCTATTACTAAGGAAGTTCAGCTGGATACTTCTGCATTTCCATTTTAATTAGCCAGTAAAACATAACGAAGTGCTATGAGGAATGCATCACTCACATCACCTTGGCAGCTGCAATAGAGGGCTCTGCACAGCTAAAGGGCCAGCTTTAGGTGCTGCTGCTGCTCAGAGCAGAAGCAGTTAGATTAGATGAAGAGTAATTGTACCTGCAGACCATAGAAGCAACCACCATAATGAATGGTATTTAACAGGCTCTCTGAAGTAATTTAAAGACTAATTTACGGGGTTTAAGCTGGAGAGCCAGACTGTGTAATGTATTAAGGAAGGTCAGCTGAGAACAGCATCAAACCTGAGCATCAATGGACTTAAAGTAAGGCAGGCAATGAGAAATCTCTATTTAGAAAATGGGCGTTTTATCCACTGCATGTTAGAGGATATTCTTGTGGAAGTAATAAAGGAAACTTCTGCAAAAACTTTTGAATTTGGGTTAGTGTTCAAAACTAGGAACCCAAAATTAAACCTCTGCTTGGGAAGTTTTCAGGACTGGTTAACATCCCCAGAATTACTTGAAAAACAGCCTGATATGCCCACTCATATTCAACATTCAGAATCTGAAAGAAAAACAAAGATTGCAAAAAAAAAAAAAATTTGTAGAAAACTAACAGTGAAAAAAAATACACAAAAAAAGACACTTCAGCATTAGCTGTAGCTCCTACCTAATTTATGCATCTAATGAATAAATGAGTCTGTCTCACTGGATGACACAGAGCACAAATAAAACCATATCAGTGACATGTGCTGCAATTATATTTCCCATCACATGAATACTAGGAAATTATAAAGAAAAATACCAAATCAACACAACACTGAGTATGTAACAGAAAACATATAGTTGTAATGTAATTGTAAAATTAATCAAAGCTAAAATGTGCTGTAGGGTTTACAACTCTTTTGATTAACAGATATTGTTACAATAAAAAAAAAGAAAAGAAAAGGCTATGGAAACCTTTCTGGGAGTATTTATCCTCATTCTGTTCATTACTAAGTTGAACTGAATAATTTGAAACATTTCCCAAGCGTCTCAAACAATTCCACTCCACAGCACAGCCATTGCATTTAGATAACAGGCAACCTTGACCAACAAAGTACTTTTTCCAGAGAGCAGTACACCAGGAGAAATTGCCAGCTCCCTCACCCTGCTCTGGCCAGAGCCCTGCAACCATACCTGACGAGACCCATGCTGCTTCCAGGTTTACTCTGCCCCAGCCTTTTCTGAAATTTGTTAACAAGCACACTTTACCAACCATGGCAACACACCAGGCAGCTACAAGAGCTGGACTGAAGCTTAATTTATTGCACAATTATCACTAAGCAACCACAAGATAGGAACAGTTATTAGTCATTTCCACCTGGGACTGAGTTTTAACCAAAGCAATCTAATTGAAAGGCTTTACACCATCTTTTATCAATCTTTTGATTCAGCCAAAGCAAACAAAACAGCTTCTTCTAAAAGGAGTTTAAACAAAATAAAAAGACTTCTTACTGTGATTTGTTGTTTTTTAATGGCAGGGTAATAGTTCTGAAACATTCTGCTCACTTCTTATTTTTTCCATTTTTTCTTTAAGATTGCTTCTTAGAACCCTGAGTCTATAACTACAATTTTCTTCTTTTTCTAGACTAATTACGAATAAGGAATGCCAGCACAGCAAAAAACTTCTTCAATCCTCAGTTTAAAAGCTACAAACAACTTAATCAGCAGAAAAAAAGCGCAAAAATACACTACAAGTTAAAAAATAGGCAATGCACAAATACAGACAATTTTTAAATCTGCAAATAGCATGGTCACTTACAATCTTAGACAAAAAGCTTGCAAATGGTACCTGTTGAGACCATGGATGTGTCACAAACAGAAAGCCCTGAAGAAGTGGGCTCACTGCGGCCACCTGCCAGATCCCTACCCAGCTGCTCTTTCACTCCCCCTCCTCAACAGGACAGGCACAGAAGATAAGATGGAAAAGGTGATGGGTCAGGACAGAAAGACTGCTTAACACTTAGCATTACAGGCAGATCAGACCTGGCCTGGGGAGAAAGTATGTAGTTTTCTGACAATTAAAACAGAATCATAGTATCATTACACCTCAATGTAAAAACTCCACTCTGCTCCTTCTTTCTACAGGACCTAGAGTAATTCTGGAAGTGTCTGTCTTTCATCTCTCATAGAAACTGGTAGAATGACATGAAGAAAGGAAGACATGATAAAGCACAAAGAGAGGTACCTGGAAAAGCAAAGCCATCTGCTTCCTGTAATCTGTTAAAACTCTCCAAAAGAAGCTCCTTGAACATGAGAAATTTTAAGAACATATGCTGCCAAGCACCACTCCCTGGGCATGTAGGAACAGGTACCCATTCTGTATCCTACAAGTCACAGAATTCAGTGAATCCCCTTTGTCCCAAGGCAACCAAAGCTTTTTGGTCCCAAATAGGACTTTTCTCTTGCTACTCCATTGAAGGATTCCTCCAGATTCTCCCTTCTAATTCTCAGCTGAATCTATTAATTATCTATCTATAAATTTTTCTTTAGCCAAATAATTATTTGCTCTTTAGCATCTATTGTGCTGGAAAGCTTTCAGAAAAATAAGTAACTGGATGCCTTTTCAGCATCCACTTCAGTAGACTGAAGAAGTCTTCTTGTCCCTTTACTTCTCCCAAGACATCAGTAGCATGTATGTTACCTCACCAGACCTTCAATGGACCTATTCCTGGTTGAATTCTTGTTTCTTAGATTAATATGGGCTGTATATTAATATACAATATACCACACAAGGTTTTATTCTAGAGAAACATTAGTATTTTTCATTAATGACCATACCACAAATAACCACGTCTTTTTTTCAGAGCTGCAATTCATCAGCAGCTCAACCCTCCCACTCCTTCAGATAAAACACCCTGATCCTCCTCCTTCAACTCTGCTGCTTCTGAATTGACAAACTCTGAGTAAACTTTCATTGGTGTGTAATATATTGTAAAGTGCATGAACTTTTATAGTATACCATTATACTACAAAATATTGATTTTATCTACTCCTGAGGATCATCATTTCTTGCTTTATTGTGGTCTGATTATCCTAATTATTTACAATACCTTAAAAGACTAATCAGAGTTGGTCCACATTTTGAGCTAATAACATTAATGAAAATTCGTAAGTACATCAGTCCTAAAAACATTACTTGAAAAAAATCACCCCTATCAGAT